GACACCATGGTAGATACCCTTACCACTCAACTTCACTCTATCCTCGACCGACATGCTCCTCTTATCACAAAAACCATCTGATATCCTCCAGCTCCTTGGCTTACTCCTGCTTTGAGGGAGTGTGTGAGAGAAAGAGATGCTGCAAGGCGACGGTTTAAACGAACTCGACTTCCTGATGATTTTCTCTCCAACAAACAGCTTCGAAATAGCACTCAACCAGCAGTACGCCGTGCTAAATCCCGTTACTACCATCATTCTCAATCCAACTCTCCCAATACCAAGGCTACGTGGACTATTCTTAGAAAACTGACCATTGGTAATGCACCCCAGTCTCAGTCCAATCCCGTTTCTGCTGATAACCTCAACGCTCACTTTGTCTCCTGTCCTCTTGCAACCACATCTCCCACGTCCAGTCTGGCTCCCATGTTCTCTTTCTTTAATCCTGATCACTTCTTTCTTTCCCACATTACACCAGATGATCTCCTTAAATCCATTCAGAAGTCCCATAAAAATGATTAAGGTCCCTACAACACCCCAGTCAGACTGATTAAAGCCGCATTGCCATCCATTCTTCCGATCCTTTATCATATATACAATTATTCTCTTCAAAATGCTACATTGCCTACATCCTGGAAAACTGCCCTAGTACGCCCATTGAAGAAGACTTCAAACCCATCAGCTCCTAATGATTTCTGACCGATTTCCCTCCTTTCAAACCTCTCAAAACCATTAGAGCGGTTAGTCCAATCCCAACTATTCCATTTTTTAGAGGAAAATAATCTCCTAAATCCCTACCAGACCGGTTTCAGGCCTGGTTATTCTACTCAGTCTGCCCTAATCAAAATTTCCCAAGACCTTCACACAGCCATAGATCAGCAGAAACTAACCATCCTTATTCTCCTAGACTTCTCCAAAGCTTTTGATTCAGTAGACCATAACATCCTCCTAACCAAACTTAAAAATATCTCTTTTTCTTCTTTTCCTTACCGGTCACTCCCAGTATGTTGTAATTCCTAATAACCCTCCATCAGAATCTCTACCTCTGACCAGAGGCGCCCCACAAGGCTCTTTCTAATCCCCCACCCTTTTCTTTATCTATATAAATGACCTCCCATAGTCTATCCTGCACTGTCAATACCACCTGTATGCCGACGACATTCAAAATTACCTCTCCTTTAATCCGACAGATATCTCAGATGCCACTCTAAAACTTCAGGAAGACATTGACAGAATAAGTGCTTGGGCAAACCTCAATAGGCTCACTCTGAACGCCGAGGAGACAAAAACCATCTTTATCGCATCCCCCTCACTCCTCAAATTCTCCCCGATATCTCCCAATCTCCTCCTGAACACTACTTCGCACTATCTCCACCCTAAAACCGTTCAATTGTCTACGATATCTCCTTCCATATAAGTCCCGTCAACTCCTAGTTTCCTCCCTTGTTATCCCCCACTTCGACTATGGCTGTATGGTGTACGGTAGACTTTCGGGAGATTCCGAGGCCAAACTTAAACGCCTAATGAATTGCGCACTACGATTTATTTTCGGAATCTCAAGGGACATGCATATTACCCAGTATTACACTGAGTTGAGGTGGCTCTATCCATCCTATCGCCGTCAGTATTTCCTAGCCACCTTTCTGTAACAAATCATTAGAACTCATTGACCCTCCTATATTTTTCACAGCTTACAATTCAAATACTCCATCCAATCCCGTCCCACCAGATCTGGTACTTCCGACCTCTATCCTCCTCCTCACCGAACTGCTGTGTTTGACAAATTCTTTGCAATACAAGCCGCCTCCCTCTGGAATTCCATCTCTGCTGATATTCGACAAGCTCAATTAGTTTCCTCTTTCAAACCTTTTATCTTTAGTCAACTCTTATTGTAAATATACAAACTAATTGTAACCACACAGACATACAATCTGTATTTATAATTGGTAAATGGTTGACTGTCATGGATAATGAAGAGAAGAATAGTTGGGGTGATCAGTCAAAAAAGAAGGCAAAAATAAATTATAATATTTATTTTTACATATGCCGACGTTTCGACCTGAAGTTCAGGCCTTCATCAGGGCTAAGAAAATAACCAGATAACAAGGTATGAGAAACATAAGTAGTGATGGTAAAAAAAAAAATAAAGTAAAATGAAGTTGTTAGAATAATGACAATAGTAAGAACCAAGAGATAAATAATAATAACCATTACAAAGTGTGGAATGATGAAGTAAGCAGAATCAAAAAGGGTGACATATGTGTTAAAATGGGAATCTTAGAATAAAATGTAAAACATAAAAAAGAAATATGAAGTTATATAAGAAATGAAAATAAATAGTAAAATTAAGACATTGAGAATGGAGTAGTTAGATAGAAAATTGAGATATTGTAAAGTCTATCAAGATGTACAGACAATTTATAATATAACAAAGAGTTAAAAACAGAGAAAAGGAATGAAAGGAAGGAGGGAAGAAACTGAGAAAGCTGAAATAAGAAAGAAATAAAAGAAGAAGTACCTGTCTCCAAAAGTGTTGCAGGGAGAATAAAAGTCGTAGCAAGGGAGGGGAAGAGAGAAGAGATGTATGTGGCGTCATCTCTAACGGTTATCTGACAAAGTTTGAACTAAAGTACCGGAAGTGTAAATAGGGACGAGAGATATATTACTCAGAAATATTATGGAAAATTGAACGAAAGTTAGTAGAAAGTGGATGGAAAATTCAAAAGAAAAATAACTGTTGAGTAATAAGGGAGAATAATTAAAATAAAAATATATCATATATATATATATATATATATATATATATATATATACATATATATACACTTATAAGTTGGTTAATGAGATGGAGAGGAAAATTAATATAACAGACCACAATAATCGCTCTTCCTTAATCTCGACTTCCACTAATTCTCCATAACCCATTTCAGCCCGTATATACAGATCTCTATCTTATATTCCTAACCTTTCAGACATCAACAAAGTTTTACGATCTACTAACCCTAACTTACAACTTGCATTCAAATCTGACAACACACTCTGTAAATTATACACATCCCTATAAGATCCTGTTCCTCTCTCACACCGCTCTCATATCGTTTACCTTATTCCGTGTTCTACCCCCAATTGTTTTTCATCCTATATTGGTGAAACCAAAAATCTCCTAAAAGACCGCATCACCCAACATAAATATTCTGCATCCTCTCATAATTTTACCGCCTCCAAATTATCCGAACATTCTCTCTCCCTCAATCATACATTTGATTTCGACGAAACATCCATCCTTGCCACAGTTCTCAACCATGACAAACGACTCATTTCTGAAACAATCCACATCCAGCTTCAACCAAAGACAGTGAATCTAAAAACTGACAAGCAGAACTTTTCTTTAGCCTACTCCCAAATTCTGAATTTATTAAAACATCCATAGTTATATTCCTTTCCTTTCTGCTGACAACTTCCTTATATATATATATATATATATATATATATATATATATATATATATATATATATATATATATATATATATATGTATATATATGAGTGTGTGTATATATATATGTGTATAACTAAAGTCTATCAAGATGTACAGACATTGTATATTATAATTAAAGTACCGGAAGCGTAAATAGGGACGAGAGATATACTACTCAGAAATATTATGGAAAATTGAAAAAAAGTTAATAGAAAGTGGATGGAAAATTCAAAAGAAAAATAACTGTTGAATAATAAGAGATAATAATTGAAATAAAAAATATATCATATATATATATATATATATATGATATATTTTTTATTTCAATTATTCTCCCTTAATACATCTCTTCTCTCTTCCCCTCCCTTGCTACGACTTTTATTCTCCCTGCAACACTTTTGGAGACAGGTAATACTTCTTTTATTTCTTTCTTATTTCAGCTTTCTCAGTTTCTTCCCTCCTTCCTTTCATTCCTTTTCTCTGTTTTTAACTCTTTATTATATTATACATTGTCTGTACATCTTGATAGACTTTACAATATCTCAATTTTCTACTACTCCATTCTCAATGTCTTAATTTTACTATTTATTTTCATTTCTTATATAACTTCATATTTCTTTTTTATGTTTTACATTTTATTCTAAGATTCCCATTTTAACACTTATGTCACCCTTTTTGATTATGCTTACTTCATCATTCCACACTTTGTAACGGTTATTATTATTTATCTCTTGGTTCTTACTATTGTCATTATTCTAACAACTTCATTTTACTTTATTTTTTTTTACCATGACTACTTATGTTTCTCATACCTTGTTATCTGGTTATTTTCTTAGCCCTGATGAAGGCCTGAACTCCAGGTCGAAACGTCGGCATATGTAAAAATAAATATTATCATTTATTTTTGCCTTCTTTTTTGACTGATCAGCCCAACTATTCTTCTCTTCAATCTGTATTTATATTTTGTTCTAAAGGGACAACAGTCCCAGAATAATAAAATATTTTTTCATTTCATTCAATCTACACAACAGTTATTTGCAAAAGGTGATGCCAAATTTATATTTAGCATAAATGAAATATGTGTTAAAAAACTTGTATCTTAAAGCAGCAAAAGGAAAGAAGAAAAAAACAACTTTTTATAAATTGAATTTTAATGGGACAAGCAAATGTGATGTTTATAAAAAGTTAATTTGGACTTGCTCACCTGCTGAATAGTCAACTCATTTTCAATCCAAGAATATTGATTTTTTAATACTTTGATTTAGATTATTGAAATAAAATAATTAGTTTCATTTGAAGCTATTTACAATTATTTCTGTTTAAAAAAATAATAATAAATTAAAATATATTTAACATTTAAAAGGATGTATAAAAATAAGAAATGAATCTTTTGGCTAGTTAAAAAACAAAACAAACCATTTTTTTTAAGTTGAGATTCTAATTCATTAATGATAAATTAAAACTTTTTACCCATATTTTTTTTTACAAAATTAAGCAATAAAGTGTTGTTATTTTTTAAGTTTACCTGGATATGGAGTAACTGCTAAAGAAAATAACTCCCATAAAAATATTCCATAGGACCAGATATCAGATTGAGTAGAAAATATTCCATCAGTGATGGCTTCGATAGCCATCCATTTCACAGGTAAAGGAATCTAAAAAATAAAGAACAATCTTAAACACCATTCTAGCAGTACTATTTTAGGTCATTATACATAGCATAATCATTTAAAGAGTTATTTAAAAATATATAAATCGACATAACCAGTTTTTGATTAGCATAACAGTAATCAATGTAGATTTGTATATTTATCAATAAATATTAGTAAATAACAGCTCAATAACTTATGTATTTCTTGAAAGTTTATTGTTTTTTTCTTATAGAAAGAAATATTGAAGAAAGAGGATTGAAAGAAAAAGTTACAAATAAATCAAATTAAGTTTGAAAATCTAAAATCTTTAGCGAAAAAGTAATGATTAAATGATTAAAAAAAAAAAAATAAACAAGAAACAATAAAATAAATATATTAAACACAATTTTTATTTTATTTAAAAGGGTAATTAAAGCTTTATAAAACTGTTTATTATTTATTATTATTAATATTATTTAAAATATTCATTTATGGACAAATAATGTCTAATGCTCAAACATTTCAATATAAATAGTTAAATACTTAAATTATAATAGTTATTTCTAATCTAATTGTGAGGTTTTGGTGATAATTTACTAGTCTTAATTTAGAAATTATGATTAAAATATAATATTTAGTAATTGAATTTGAAAAAAAATTATATTTTTTAAGTTGTAATTTTAAGACTCATATTTAGCCTTAACCTACATTGGCCGAGAGGCATATCTGAGGGGAGAGGGAAGGGGGGAGTGGCTTTTGAACTAAGATCCCTTTCCCTCCCAAAAAAAGGCAAAATATAAAGGTTACAGATAGGTGGGTACAGCGGTAGTTAGCGGAGTAGACTCTTGGCTATTGACTGAGTAGGACGTGTTTTAGTAGGTGCGTGTAACTCGGGAGAGAGCAAGTAGTATGAGTGCAAGAAAGCAGTGGAAATACAGTGGTGATATTTGGTAAAGCAAGGCTTGTGTTACTAGTGTGATATATCCCTGGATTAAGCCAAAAAAAGAACGGATTAAGCAAGAGCATTGCTAAGACCACCAGGCAGAGGAACCGCAAGGTTAGGAAAGCACGTGGTAGCGGCAGTGAAGGTTAGTCGAGCACACGGTCGCCATGAGGCTTTAAGTAGGTCAACAGCTGTAGCAGACAAGGAGGGGAGACCGCGTGGCTGCCGTGAGAGGTTAAGAGAGGCACGTGGTTGCCACCAGGCCTCAAGTAGATCAGCAAACACAGAACAGCCAGCTAGACCGCATGGTCACCATGAGGTGCTAGGTTAATTAAGCACGTGGCCGCCATAGAGATAGGTGTGATAAGACACTAAATTGATAATAAATTTAAAAGATGAGTGAAAATACATCACCCTCAAATTCAATTTCCAAAAGAAATTGGATGGGTTCCTGTTTGCCAACCCCGGGATCTGACGTGTCGGTCGGACGGCAGCATACGAGACGATGATGGGTCTCTGGGGCGAGACAGCCGGAACGGAAGAAAATTGGGGGCCTAAGGGGGCCAAGAGGATGCTGCCCCCTGCGGTGCCGGAGGATGCCCCAGGGGCAAAAATACCGCAAGTAGAGGACGTCTCAGGGTCTCCACACCTGGCGGAAAAGGGAGAGACCTCCTCTCTGAACGCAGAGAGCGGAGGGTAGCAAGGCTTGTGATGGAGGCTGCCTTAAGGGTGAATGCACTTGAGGCAGAGAAAGCTCAGGCTGAGCGACTCCTAAGGGAGAGAGCAGGAGGCAGCATTGGGTCCCCAAGAACTCTGGTGAGGGAAATCCTCACTGAGGAATTCCTGGAAGGGGTACAGAGGAGAGTAGCCTCGGGAGTGTTGACAACAATACTAGCTATGGAGGAACAGGGCTTGGAGGAGGCCAGTATAGGAGAACACTGGCTGAAAACCAGAAAGCCCAGGAAGATTTGGAGAAGCTCAGGTGCCAGACTGTGGGACCGGAAGCGGGCCCACAGGAAAACTGGATACTGAGACTCCCCAAAATAAACCCAGGTGAGGATAGAGTTGCAGGGGTGGAGGGCCCGGCCAGACCCACAAAGAAGGTCAGGTGGGGAGACTACAAAGACTCCTCTAGACCTAAAGGCCAGTGGGAGGAAGAAGCGAGAAAACCGACTCCAGGAACATCAAAGGAGATCGGAATCCCTGCACCTATGCCACTCAGAAGCACAGGAGTGGAGATCTACCACGGGAGAAATATGCACCCCGAATCTGAAGAGAAGGAGGAGGAGGGAAATTTCAACATGGTGGAAAGTACGAGGAAGAAGAGGAAGGCGATAAAGAAGAAGAAGCAAAAGACTTCCACTCCAGTAGAGGGCCAGAAAAGCAAAGGAGCTGAGAGGCAGCCTAGCCACAGTGACCTGCTCAAAGGGCTGGTGGATATGGTTGAGCGGAAGCTGATCTCGGAGCAGGACCCTTTAAGAACATCGAAGGCAAGAGAAACCTATGTCACCATCAAGGGACAGGAAGGGTGGAACCCATGGGACATATGACAAATGACAAGGACATAAGGGGAGAGGCCCAGATGGATGTCGACGTGGTTAAGGTCACGTATAAGAAGGACGTCCTTGTAAGGGCCCAGAAGAAGCCAAGAGGGTCATAGGATGGGACAGGCTCCGAGAGAAAGGCCTGATAGCACAGCTGGCCAGGAAAAGGAAGACCCGATTAGAAATAATGCGGGTGCCTTCCGAGTGGACAGCTGAGAGGCTAGAGCAGGTGATCTGGGAAAAACTGGCGACGAAGGGCTTTGAGAAACCGGCGCAAGGTGCCCAAGACTGGTTGAGAGCCTGCTTCTCCAACTCGGAGAGGAGCGGACTCAAAAGAACTTGGGTACTGGAGGTTCACCTGAAGACAAGAATGGAAATATTACTGTTAGACAGTATGAGTGGGGGATGGTGGAACCTCCAAGTGAGGGGCTACATCGACCCCCCCTCTGTGCCTGAAATGTCAAGGGTCATACCAAAGCCCAATGCAAGGAGCAGTTGACCTGCAGATGGTGTGGTGAGGAGGGACACATTCACAAGGAGTGGCCAAAGAGAAGCCTGCCCCCGGAACCTTGGAAAAGGCAGTGGCCATGTACATGGACCACACGTACCCCAAGGACGATCTGGCCCTGGACACGGGGGAGGATCGGATGACCGGAACGGACCTATGCGAGCCATGGGACATCTGGGATCTCCGCCTGACTATCGAGAAGTAGAAGATAGGAAGGGCTCTAGGACTCGACGAGATCGATGCAACGACGAGGAACAGTGTGCGGCAAATAGAGGACAAGCTCCTGGCCATAAGCAACCTGTGCCTGGACAGAGGACACTTTCCGTATCAATGGAAGGAAGTGGACCTCAGATTGCTGTATAAGGGGGAAGGCAAAAACAAAGAACAGCCTAAGGCCTACAGGCCCATATGCCTCCTCCCAGTGATCAACGAAGTCCTGGAGCACATGGATAATGGAGAGGATGAAACCGGTGCTGCACGTGGCGGGTCATCCACGACAGTTCAGTTCGACGAGGAAGGGCACAGTGGTGGTTAGTGAGCTGTAGGTTGAGAACCCCTGGCCTACAGTGTAGGACATGCCGAAATATCTCCCAGTGTTTAGCTACACTGTTGAGTCAAGTTACAGAATGTTTAGTGAGCTATTTTGAAGGCCATTCTTTGAACTCCTGATGCTTTATTTCCATCTACCTTCAGATAGTATTGAATGGATTCAACACAATTAAATAAAGTTAGATCATAATCCATTCTCTGCCTTAACTCACGTTTAGGTTACAGTAATGAAAGCTTGCAAACCCTATCAGAAAGACTACAAAATCTTACACAGAAAATTTGTTTTTAAGGCCTCAAACATCAAAGGGTTAATTAACTGAACAGTTTTTTTATACTTAGTAATTTCAAGATAGAAAATGAACTGTATTATATTTATTAAACATTTTATTTATTCCGTTATGATATTATTAATTTAAAAAATAATAAAAAAATGTGTACTAACATCACGTTTTTTGTTCTTGTAATTTTCTCTGGAATACATTGATTTTGCTAGTCCAAAATCACATATCTTAACAATATTTCCTTCAGCTAACAGAACATTCCTTGCAGCCAAGTCACCATGCAGAACCTACAAAATAATTTAATTATTTTAAAACTAAATAACACAAAAATATTTTATTTTTAAAAAACATGTAAGTAAAAAAGATTAAAATACCAAATCAGCCTCTATGCAACACCAGATATCCAACATAATTGTATTCTCTCTGATAGTTAAATCAAAGAACAAGAAGTGAAAGATCAAGTTAAGAAATAAATTTCTTATTCCCATTACCCATAACAACTCAATTAAAAGATAAGGTATTTGAGGAAACCTAAGCTATTTTAGAACATTTTTAACCAGTATATTGTACATAGCAAAGTAGGAGGGAGTGGGGAAATGTCATGCAGCAGTTTAATACTGTGCATATTTTTCAAATCTTCTAAAAGGAGTAAAGAGTGATGCATAGTGCTGCTGCATAGCAGACAGTATCCGAATAAAATTCAGCCAGAGGGAAAACTTTTAACAACATCAGGGTTTTTAGTGTTTCTTTTTTTATTTGTTTCACCTACGTTTATGAAACTTAAAATAACTATTAATTATAACAAAACCGTCAAATCAGAAATAAAGAGATATGAGAAATATTTATTTTATACATTGTTTTAGTAGAGTCTTAACCCAATAACAAGTTGGGCTTTAATATACTATATCTTTAATTTTCATGTTCACATTCTCTACCCTTATCACTTTCTCTCTCTCTATTTTCCCCTTTATATATATGTAGGAGAAGGACAATCCATAATATTTTATTTTATCAACAATCGATATCAAATGTTAACTCAATATCACATTTAATTAAATAATGTGTTCAGATTATTACCCATATCTGGACTGCCTTCGTAAGAAGAGTAACAATATCACCTCAAACTAGTTTTTGACCATTTGAAAAATATGGACTTCACATTAATGCTGCAAAGTCATGATTTAGTGTGCAAAAACTACAGTTTCTAGGGTACATGATCGCACTTGATAGTGCTAAACAATTACCTGATTGAGTACAAGCTATTTTGGATTTCAAACTCCCTGAAACTATTGCTGGACTTTGACGATTTCTCGGTAAGATTAATTTTTCTAAAAGCTATCTACCAGAAGCTTCTGAAACTCAGGCTATTCTCCATGAATAAATAAAAGGAACTCGTAAAAAGGACAATCACAAAATTTCGTGGACCCCTGAAGCGGTTTCCCAATTTGAGAAATACAAAAAGGACGCAACAATCCTTCTTTGCTTTCCTACTCCAGAGCAGACTTACCTTAGGCTCTTGTTGTTGGTGCCAGTGACTACCCAATTGGAGGAGTAATGCAACAACTAGAGGATGGCAAATGGAAATCACTAGCTTTCTTTTATAAGAAATTAAAATGTGCAGAAAAAAATTGTTTGGCATCTATGAATCAGTCAAACACTTCCGACACACCCTTGAAGGAAAACATTTTATAATATACACCAATCATCACCCACTGATTTATGCCTTCAAGCAAAAAAATGAAAAAGCTATCCTGCTGTAACTAAGACGCTTACAATATACTTCTGAGTATTCTACCAACATTAGGCACATAAATGGCAAACTGTACATGGTTGCTGATATACTTTCAAGAATTGAATCTATCACTACCCGATACCGGTGTCTCCATTGCACAATCCTGACAAATTTCTTGGACAGCCAGTTCAATTCACAACGATGCAGAAAATTTTTTATCACAACTTCAAGACACTATGACACAACTGAAACCTGTGAAGTGAAATCCTTCATCCACAAGGATTTGGCAAAATACACTCATGTGGTTTTTTTTAGGTTCAAAATCCAAAAGGTTTATTGGATATTCAGTAGATCTTTGTTCACACCAGTGGCAGATACAGGAATATTGTGAGGGAGGGTGCACTTACAAAACAGCTGAATTCCATACACCAAAGCTGTATGTTTATATATAGTAACATTAATTAAAGTAAATATATTTAATGAAGAGAAGAATAGAATGATTCTCCCTTCGACACTTAAGGAGAAAGCCCTGATGAAGGCCTGAACTTCAGGTCGAAACGTCGGCATATGTAAAAAATAAATATTATAATTTATTTTTGCCTTCCTTTCTGACTGAACACCCCAACTATTCTTCTCTTCATTATCCACGACAGTCAACCAATTACCAATTATAAATATATTTAATTTAACCTTTCTTCAGCTAGTGTTAAACATTCGACACTTACAGTTAATCATCATTGGTGTTTGTGTTAGGATTGAAAATATGGTGTCATGGTATCATATGGCAATATCACAGAATAAGATGATGAGATAGATAATAATGAACCTAAAAATTTTGGAGGAACTTTTGACGCTGGAAAATTTGTTAGCAAGGATTCTATTTGCCTCCTCTATGCAATAAGATATTTATTATTAAATTAAAAAAGTAATGTTAATGTAGTATGTCTTATGAGTACATACTGCTTAATTCATTATTAATTAATATCAAAATTATAACAGTACTATCTTATAAAACAATGATGATTCTAGTTCAAATATGAAAATGAAAGAATGTCAGAATCACAAAAGAAAAAGTAAGATTACTTAACTTTCTGGATGCCAGATATGACATGCCTTTAGCAACTTGATAACCCCAGCAAAATAAATCTTGAGTGCATATTGGTCTTACACTATTTATTATATAATCACCATGATACTCAGCTAGAATTTCAGCATCCCTATTCATTAAATATCCATCTTCACCTAAAAAATGTGTTTATAAAACAAATGTCATATACAAAAATATGGATAATTTTGTCCCCTATAGAGAAAATTAAATTAAAATAAAATAAAAATTAGCAGTTTAAAGTTGTATATAATGAATCATGTTAATGATATTGTTGATTTATTTAATTTACAATTAAAATATATCTTTATTAGAAATAATATATTTTTTATAATATGTATAAAAATGAGTATGATGATAAAAGAGGGGTTCACTATCAAAATTGGAAATCTCCATCTCCAATTTTGTATGCAAACTGACAATAAAACCTAATTTGGATTCATTAAAATGGCTTACAAAAAAAATCTTTCCATTAACTATCCCAGAAAGAAAAATATTTTTGAAAAAAGTAGAGTTTTGATATATATAAAGTTTTGAGAAACTACAAGAACTCACCGAAATGCCAGTTTCAGTAAGAAGTGAAGATGTCCACAATTAGTGGAAAGCTCCTCAAAAGTAAACAAAGGAAGTGTAAACTTGTACACAAAAACAAATTAAAAGTTCAAATTACTTGTAATATTAATCCATATTTTTTGAGCTTTTTGTTACATAACTAATTTGTTTTCCTAATTAACTGGAAGAGACAAAACCAATGCTATTCCTTTAAATTTTTATATCCCCTCCCCTATTGCTTTTTAAGAAATGTTGCAACATGTTTTAAATTTGAAAAGCTATTATTTAAGGCTTTAAAATCATTTTGACCCAAATTTGTGTGATTTCTAAATATTTTTTTTTTGATCAAAGTATGAGATAGAATAATTTTACTTGATCTCTGTGGCAAGGCCTGAAGTATTACATTTTTTTCTTTAAAATTTCAAATACCTGTTTTTCAATGTTGTATCAAGTGGATATTTCATGAATAAGAAGTTTTTCCTTTGCACACACATTAATCCAGGGGTGCCCATCCCCCCAAGGTTGATAGCGCATGAACCCTCCTCCCCTCTCCAAAAATTGTATTTCTGTCCTCTTCTTAAAAACAATGCAAGTGAAAGTAGGATTAAACAAATCATAGATCATATACAACTACACTTGCTGTGGTCTGACCCATGCTTTCCTCCTAGTTCTCTGTTTTGAAACTTTTCACTTTGAAATTTGCTCCCCTAAAAAAATTCAAAACCCAGTCAAAATATGCCCCTCTCAAAAATTTTGATGGTGCAACTTGCGCCATGAAACCCCCTTCTGGTCACTCCTGCATTAATCACATACATTTTTTTTACTTCTGCTTACATGTGAATGATTGAAAAAACTCTTGGCTAGCTAAAAGGAACATTTTATCATTATATAGACTTAAAGTGCTTCGAGCACTCCTTACACTACTGAACCAATAGAGAATTGACTTAGCAGCAGTACAAAAAGTCAAGTGGATTGGGAGTGGATTAATTGAAAAGGATTACTACATCCTCTGCTATAGCTATCATGATAAGCTACATATCTTGGGGACAGGATTTAGTTAGAAGAAGGAAGTGAAAAGCCCATCAGTTAGTGATTTATTTCTAGAATCTATAAAATAAGATTAAAAGATAGAGTTTTTAACCACACTAATTGCTATTCATCAACGGAAGTCACTCAAGATGAAGAAAAAGAACAGTTTTATGATGAGACCCTGTTTTATGAAAGAGCCCTAGCAAACTGCCCTAATTACAATGCAAATATTCTGCTTGAAGGTTTGTATGCACAAGGTTTTACAAGGTTGTACATTTGTAATGAATGCAATTGTTGGTATAGAAGAACTCCGCCTGTGGAAATACCTACACTAGGACTACAGCCAGTCCCAAGCCCAGATAAAGGAGGAGGGTTGATGGGTAGGGCTGACTAGCCACCTATCATTAAAAAACACCACAAACAGCATTGACCTGAAACTCAGAAAAGGCCACTTCTTTTTGGAACATGGAATGTACGGACATTATACCGACCTGGTGCATTGAAGGATCAACTAGATAAGTACAGAATGGATATAGTCGCACTACAAGAGGTCCCTTGGACTGGGAAGGGCCGCATTAAAGGAAAACATTATGACATCTTCTACTGTGGAAGTGTACACAAGCAGGCATGGTTGGAATGGGGTTTATGGTTTCTCAAAAAATGTCTAGTTCAATAATCAACTTTCAGCCTATTAGTGATAAAATGTGCAAATGAAGGGAAAGGACTAAGTCAAGAAACATCACCATAGTCAATGTCCACACACTAACCAAGGAAAAATGTGAAGAGACCAAAGATGTCTCCTATAGTACCTTGGAAGGAATAATGAACCAATGCCTCACAAGAACAAGCATAAGCATAAGCATACTTGGAGAACACCAAATGGATCATACAGTCAAATAGACCACGTTTTGGTGTCATTGGAACATTTCAACTGTTGGAATGACATGAGGTTCTATAAGGGAACAGATGTAGATTCCGAACATTTCCTGGTAGTAGTAAAAATAAAACTAAGTTATCACCAACATCCCAGTAAAACAGGCAGTAGGAAAAAGAAATGGGTCACGGAAAAGCTAAATACACCGGACATAAGGAAAAAGTTCCAAGAGGACAGCAGAAAGGATATCGGAGGTACCGGCTATCGAAGGAGGATGTTCAATCAAAGATAATTGGAAGATACTACAGAAAATAATAGAAAAAAACAGAGGATGAACACTGCAATAGTAATCATGAATAGTTTCGCAATGAATGATATGATGTGGAATGTGAGGAAGCCCTGAAAATACGTAATATGAAAAGAACTAAGTTTCTTAGCCATGATATTTGGCAAACAAGAAAAGAATACAGAGATGCTCGGGCATATGCGAAAAGGATCTGTATGAAAAAGAAGAGGATGGCCATGGATCAAAGAATTAGGAATATAGAATCATCCTGAGTGAAGAAAGTGAGTGGAGAAACAAGGAAATTTGTTCGCAAAGTCAAGAACTTTAAAACAATATTTAAGTCGATTGAAACAATAATAAGGTATGAAAATGGTACACTCCTTAGTGGCTGATGAAGTAATGGAAAGATGGGAGAGATACTTCAGTGAGCAGCTGAATCCTGCATCTGATGTTTATCGGAATAAATGTGATCAGGACGATGAGACGGATGGAGAAATGCCCTCAGGTTGGCAGAGGCAGAGGATATTGTTGACATCATCAATGGACTTAGAAATCATAAGGCCCCAGGAACAGATGACATTGTGGCAGAGCTGTGGAAGTGGATGGTCACGTAATAAATAGTGAACTATGTAAGCTGATAGCAAGAAGAATGTGTACCCAAAAAATGGAAGGAATCCATAGTCATCCTAGTGTTTAAGAAGAAGAAGAAATGTGATCTCACTGAGTGCAGCAATTATAGAGGGATTAGTCTCCTGAATATTGCGTAAACAATTTTCTCTATTGCACTATATAACAGCTTGATATCTTACATGGAAAGCACAGTTGGTGACTACCAAGCAGGTTTTGTGAGAATATGTCTACAATAGACCAAATTTTTACGCTTGAACAACTGGATGAAAAGATGTACGAATTCAGACACCCTATGTGGATACTTTTTGTGGACTTACGATTCTATGATTAGAGAGAAACTCTACAGTGCAATGAAGGAAATGAGTATCCCTAGAAAACTTATAGGACTAATTAGGTGTGCCATGGAGGATAATATTTGCCAATTCGGGATGAACGGTAAGAATAGTGGCTCATTTGGTGTCAACTCAGGGCTAAGACAGAGTGACGCACTGGCACCACTACTATTTGGAGGCATCTATTTTTGTTTAGAAAAGGTTCCATCCGTCTTGAAATAAATCAATTTTTTACAAAATATGATGAATTTGATGACCCATAAAATTTTATTGCAATTTATCTAGGGTGGCAGATACACATCTTTGCAATCTATGGTGAGAATACTTTTAGCATCTACGGTGAAAACTTTCTTCAAATCAGACATACTTTTCAGCCTCAGCTCCTGGTCTAGTAGATGAACCCAAAAATACTTTGCATGGACATAGATAAAGGGGATGAAGAAGATGAGCTCCTTGCCATTAGCTCTAAAATAAGGAAGCATGCACATGCAACATGAACCATTTCTCAGCAAAATTTTTGAAAGCACTCTACAAAGCCTTTGACAAGACCCTTCTTTAAGGATTGTACAAAAAGAAAATAACCAATTTTTTTTTCTAATAAGAAGTAGCTGCTAAATATATCATTTGTATATACATATACATTAATTAATTTTGTAAATACATATCTTTTAATTTTTACTCCCGATTATTAGAAATCTTGATAATTCATACTTAATCCATTTGACAATATGAATTATCAGGATTCTATTGTATTAAAAAATTCACCTTAATATTTCCAGTTTTTTTTTAAATATTGCTGATAGCTTTTTACTAAAATTTATTGAACATGAAAGGTGTAAAAGAATTTCTTCAAAGGTTATTTCAAAAGTCTGAGAGGTGTGGTATTCTAAAAGACAATTGTATATTAAGACACTTACTCAAAGGGTTAATATTTTTTATTTATTGGTGAACTTTTATAAGATACATACCTATAGGTGTTGATAAAGAAGTTGTATAGGTGACTCCAGAATGACCATTTGAGTACTCTGAAGCTTGCTCAGAATTAGGTTGATAATAAGCATTTGGTTTCAAATATGTCAGTTCAGTAAAAGCACTTCTACAAATAAATATACTTTCAATGAATACAATTCATAGCATGTTATACAAATATACAGCAAAAAATCATTAAACACATATTAATATAAAAATTAGAACTTTAAATATATTAGATATCTTTATGATTATATTAAATAGCAAATAAAATCCATCAGTTCAATGCCAAAACTGCCAACAATCGGTGTCTATATATACCTTCACAAACGCCTGTCAAAATCTAAATCTAACTTTTAATAATCTGACTTTAAAAATAGGGTACTGGTTCATGAGAGTTCCACACGGTAATCTGTACCAAATGGCCTGGTTCACAATCATTTCTGTCACATTTGTTTATAGAATACCGAATGCATTTGGTTTTATCTGAAAGAGTACAAAAGTGATTGATTTCTTGAGTTAGTTACAAATAATAATAGAAACAACCTTTAATTAATTAAAAGAAACCACTGAATGCTGGGGCCATGGTAGTCCAGCGAGTTAAGGCACCTACAAAAATACACTCAATGCGTAGAGACTTTTCGCTTCAATTTTTATCAAAACCAAAAAACCATGAGTTCAAATCCCATTTGTAGGATTCTATAACAAAAAGATAAAAAATAATAAATGTTAAAATAAATAAGTGCAAGTGCTACCCAATTACTCAGACCACTATGGCATTGGTTGTGGTCCCACATGGTAAGTGTAATGTCCCCACCCAGAGATTCACAGGGATGTGAGCAACTTCTGTGTCTTATATCATAACTCTTGGTCCTTCAGATTGGGGGTTAGGCATAGGGCTAATAACTCTATTCCATAAGAACACATCAAACCAAAGAAACCAAAACAAAGCCTCAGAAAATGAGATTGTTTAAACATGATAATGATCTCGGCTTTGGTTCACAGATTATTCATTGGATCTTGGAATATATGAAGTTTATACAGATCAGGAGCCTCAAATATGGTAGTCAAAAACTTAAAAGGTATAACGTACCGTTAACAGCCATTCATGAACAAGGGTGACTGAAGTGATTATGAACCGCATCTAATCAATGCGGAATTCTCATGAACTAGAACGGAAAATAGTGGTAATTGCACTAAGTTGTATTCTCAATAAAATAAATTTGAACTAAAAATGACAAAATCTTTATAAATAAATGTGGATAAATTAAAATGCTATGAGGATAGAGAAAATAACAATATATGAACATAAGTATCCAAAGATGGAAAAATAAGACGATCCTGAGGATGAGAGAGTTAGCCAAGGTAGATTTTTGCCTACAGCAGCTCTACCTTCGTTCACTTTAAGCAAGGCTCATATTGATTCAAATGTAAAGGATTGAATGAGGTATTCATATGCCCATATGACCTTTTATACTGAAAAAAAAAAAATGGAAAATCTCACAAAGGATCCAATAATCCCTCGTAGTTTTCCTGGAGCCATCGACGTTACCATTTTTTCTGCCAGCTGGAGGATATGTTTACAGAACATTTGAGAATCTATACAGCTTTGCAAGTATCATTTTTTTCATATGAAAAGCTATTTATAAAATGACAATGAAAAACGTATGAATGTGAATATGAAATTTTTCACCTATTTGAGAAATCAACATATCCGGTCACTTCATTAATTTGATTTATAAATGCTGTTCTATGGTTTTGTAAATATTTATGTAAATTTCCATATCTGCAATATTCAACCAAAACCAATAATTCTCCTGTAAAATTAAACCTTCATTAAAAGTATAAATTAATTTTACATAATTATGAAAAATGGTTAAATAAATTTAAGTACTATTCATGTATTAATCATTAAATAAACTGAAGTATTATTCATATAAAGAATTTAAAATATAAATTATTCTTTATTTTTATTAATTATGAAAATACTGAAATTTAATTATAAATGTCTGTATAGTTTTAAAAAAACAATAAAAATTTTATGAATTTAATTATCCGAGTTGATTATTCATAAAATTAGAAAAATTGAACAGAAGGTTAAACAAATATTTCATTAATTAAGACTCAAATGTTAAACATAGTTAAATATAGCCTTTCTTTCACTCAATTTTTCCTATTTTATTAATTAGATTTGGTGTTCATGCATATTAAATAAAAGACTGAAATTCATAGTTGCTTTTGTGCATTATAACAATGCAACAGGATATTGTAGAATGACAAAAAGAACTTGTTAGAAAAGGAATAAGTATTAACAGCTGTAAGAGCAAGGTTATGACTGTAGTCAAAGATAATGAGGATGTGGAAGATATAAGAATGTTATGCAATGGACAAGAGCTGGATAATTTGGACCACTGCCCTTATTTTGTAACAATTTTTAACAGATCTAGGAAAATATACCAAGAGTTGTCCAATAGAATAAAGAAAGTGAATGATATATAATACCAGATTTGCAACATGATTATGGGAAAGAGAAAGGTAAGAAAGAATGCCAAACACCACATCTACAAAGCAATTTATCTCCCTAGCTTATAATAACACAGCAAAAACTGGGTCACCCAAGACAAGCACTTAAGCAGGATAGCAGCTGTGGAAATTAATTTTTTATGAAGAATGTTAGGAAAAAACAGGAGAGATAGGATAAGACATGAGAGAATAAGAGAGAGAGAAGAACTCCTGACACTCTTGCTGAAATCAACTATAGAATGCCAACAGCTTTGATGGTATGGATACACTCACACAGATGGATGGACGGATTCATTCCTGTAGAATGAAGGAAGAAAGTGTACCAAAGAAGTGCATGGAATGAGGAGCAGGTTAAAATGTAGGCCTAGAAGGACATACCTGGAACACAACCAATGGCTGGGTCAGGAAAGAGGAAAAACCCTAGCTCACATAAAGGAATTGGTGAAAGACCGAGAAGTGGCTGAAGGCTCCTTCAAGCTGAAAGGCACATAAAGAGGAATACAAAGAAGAAGTTGAATATATTGAATTTTAGTACAAAGCTTTTTTTATTTGTATTACATTTCTTAAAAGCACGTTTACTTAAAAATCAGCACAAAGTTAAGTAACGAGTGATCAAAGTAGCCTGTAAAGTTTTTTTGGATAGACCAGTCCTGAAACAGAGGGACATAGAATCCTATATTTAATATGAGATAGTATCAGGAAGAGCTTGAGAATATAATAAAAAGTTTATGAATGCTTCATAGACTTAGAAAAAGTTTGCTATTCTAGTTTATTGAAAAGATTTGATATACAATTCTAAGAGGAAAATTCCCAGTAACTTAGGAACTAATCACAACAACCAAAATGCAATCAAAGAAATACTAAAACTGAAAAAAAAAACAAAAAAAACAAAGAGATATTTTGAGCCCATTGATTTTCAATGATGTTCTAAAGGTTTGCCAAAAAATAAGGAGATACTTAATAGTAAATTGGTTATTCCAGCTAGAGCAAATAAGAACAACTACCTAAGCAGACAAAATAGTTCTTCTTATTGATTCAATAAAAAATTTCAATATATCTTAAAACTGATAACAAAAAGAGTCCTAACTATAAATGTAGAAAATACTGTATTCCCAGAATCACTCATATCAACGGATTAATTTATTTCAGGGTTTTTCTTGAAGGTAAAAGAATATTTAAAGAGTTCAGAGCATTAACCACTTAAAAGTGATACAAAGGATGGGACAATAGAAGAAGATATTCATATAAAAGAATCTACTGCAAACAAATTCTTTCATGTTATCAGTAAGTAATAAGTTTCATTGAAATAGTGAAAATAAGGAAATCAACTGCAGACTCAAGAACTTTGTTCCACAAAGTGAATAGTAGAGAAGCCTATAAGAGATAGGATAGATACAAGATACATATCCATTGGTGAGGTAAATGGAATAGGTATTTTTAAACATACAATATGAAGATGTGAAGTTTCAATGAGAATTTTTATTTTATAATAAAGATATGTAAGTATAGAAACTGGAAAATAATTAACTTTCTACAGAATCACTTACTATTGTGTACATTTCCTGTGCATGCACCAAGCAGATTTACAACATTCAGATGTTGTCCTAAATGAGCCATTATCTTTAATTCAGTAGCCAAAGACTTGACATTAGAAATATCTGATGTTTTTTTTACCATTTTTACCGCAACAATAACAGGCTCATTATCTTCATGAAGACCATAGGCTTGTCCTTTCAAAACGATGCCAAAAGCACCACTGCCAAGTTGTTTTCCTGAAATGGTTATAAATAAAACAAAAAAAAATGTTAACTCATAATATATCTGTGCTAGCAGCAAAGTCAAATAATTTTTTTTATTATATTTAATCAATATATGATTAATGATTTACAAAAATACTTCATTAATTCCACAGTCTTTATTTCATTAGTAGAAAATCCTTCTGACAAGACATTTCACTTTATCGGTATTTTAACATTTCGGCTCTACAAGCCATTTTCAAACATTCCAAAAAAATAATAGTCATAAACCATTCATTAATTTTTTTTCAATAAACAGTTTACTATTTTATGATAGTAATTGTTTAATTAAAATTATAATTTTTTAAAATTTCTTTTAAAGTTTTCTTTGAAATTTGACACTTAAGGGAAGTGTCCTCTTTGCCCCTTCCGTTATATAAATAAATAAATAAATAAATAAATAAATATATATATATATATATATATATATATATATATATATATATATATATATATACTCTAACTGATTGTGAGTATTTTTTCTATTGGGTATACAAACTTTCTAGATCTTTAGCCCCTTGAACCAGTCTTATCTACCTCTGTCTATCTCGGACTACTGCTTTCCAGTTTGATTTGCAGCATATTTTTTTATACTACTATCAATCTCTTTTTTAGTCTCCCACTTGGTCTCTTACCAAATATTGTGACATTCATTTTTGTGTAGAGGTTTCCTGATGAATTGTTTTTAACTACATATCTGACCCATCTCAACCTCATCACCATTCATATTCATGGGATATAGACAGAAGAGTTTCTGTAAGCATTTATTTATTGGACTTTCTCCTTCATGTGTAAGTACTCTGAACATAAATCACTCCTGTTATGGTGCAAAAGATTTTCTTTTTAGGGTGCTGGTTAGAGGCCTAGGTCTTGCAGTCATATATCAGCATAGGCTTAATCGTAGTGCTGAACACCCTTAATTTGAGATTTCTAGATTTTTCAGCTTTTAGTACCACGTTACATTTTGAGCTTGTTATATGTTGGCCTATCTTTGATAATTGGTCATTTATCAAAGGAGCTGAGGTATTTGAATTTGCTTGTTCTTGAGAAAGATTTCCAAAATACACAGATCCTGTTGTTTGGTGGACTTTTGAGTTTACTATATATAGTTTGTCTAAACATAAAACCCACAAGAGGTTTAAAAAACAAGACCATAATGTCCATACAGACAATTCTTGACATCTTCCCTATATTTTTAGAGCTGAAACCCCCCCTTCTCCCAAAATGGTAAAATGTAACCATGTTTTATGGTGAAAAATATTAAAAAATAATCTCTTAAAGTATTATTGTTCATGTAATTACATTTAATAGGACTTCAAGAATCACTTAAACACCATTACATATAGATAGTTAGTATCTTTCTTTTTTTTTCTAAAGTAATTATCGTTATATTTATATATGAAAAAAAATTGCTTTTGGGCTGAGCTGAAGCCATTCCAAAATTAAATCTTGGATCTGCTAGTGCTACAAAATAAAAATAGCCAAGCTTTTAAATAGATTTCTTACCTAATTTTAATTTGTCTCTTGGGAATTCCCATTTTTTGTCATAAGGTAATAAATCAGCTTGCTCTCCAATATCAACATTTGGATCAATAGCTTCAACTTGACCTTCCGAAAAATTATATAAACCAACTGAAATAAGTTCTCTTCTTTTTCTTTGCTCCTTTTTATACTTTTTGCAATATATTGCCAATGCAATTACACAGAGTAATATTATAATTATTAATCCAACAAGAACCCACCATATAACTTTGGATTGCATAACATGTCCTCCTAAAATGTACATAAAAAAATAGATAAAACTAATAAAATAACAATTAAATATAAACATTAAATTTTTCTCTCTTTATTTTAGTTCAATAGAACATGAATAACACCTAAATCACAAATTTATGATTGCACTATTACAATTACAAAAATATAGTGCTTACTTAAATTAAAAAAAAAATTTCTGATGATTTCACAGTAAGTATATCATTAATTAATAAATAATTAAACAAGATATCATACTTATTTTCAACATATTTTCAGCACTAACATTTCCAGCACTATTTGATGCGATACACTTATAAAGTCCAGCATCTTCTATATTAGCATAAGTTACACGAAGAGTATGGTTTCTGTTTTCAAGCTTCACCCGATCATTTTTAGTTACAAGAATTTGATTATCCTACAAGCAGAATATATTAAATTAAAAATAATGATATTGCCATAACAGTTCTAGTGAAATAAAAATAGGTGATCTTAGAAACATGGACATATATGTGATGAGTGTATGTGTTTACTAAAGTAAATAAACCTCTTCTTTTTTTTTTCACCCTTAACTGCATGCTGCTAGATACTAACTCTTGATCTTAATGTGGCTATCTCTTGTTTATAAACGACTATTGATCTCTCCTTGTCCTACAGGACAACTGAGACAAATTTCTAGATCCTTGAATGACATTTGACAAGCCATGAAGCAACCATATTGAGATAAGTGAAAGTCTATTTGGCTGTTGCAGCTAACAACATGAGATTACATAAGTTGAAGGTCACACATACATATGAGGTTCTGGACATATGATGAAACATGTTATATCTCATCAACGTTAATACATTATTTTTATTTAATTTTTTCTCTTTCAACATAAAATGCCTAATTATTTAATTTAGATATAATTTTTTTATTTATAAATATATTTTATATATTTATTCTTATTTATTTTAGTAAAATTTCATTTCATTCAAATTTAATCAAGAAAACATGCAACTTACAAAAAAACATATGTGCTTTTAATAGTGTGTGTGTGTGTGTGAACATATATTACCAGCCAATTCACCTCTTCCTACACGTTCAAAAGCACAGTGCTTAACATGAGTACAAGGCTCACTGTTCACCTTAGGGACCCCAATCCATTTGTGTAAACCTACACCATTGACAATATCTACAGCTGCATCTCAGCCAACTAATCTGACTTTATATCCAAAGTAATTTTCTTTTATAGGTTTATTTATTTTGTATTTTTATTTTATTTTTTCATAATTTGATTTAAAATTGTTTCTTTTGATTATAATTAGTTGGTAGTTTTTAATTTACAATTTAATTTCAATTATGTTAATTTTTTTACTTTCTTTACACTTCAAAATTATTTTATTCATACTTTTACCTCATTTAAATATATTTATGATTTCTTTAGAGAAATTAAATTTCTATAGCAACCAGCTATTCTATCGACCAATAGATGTCCCCACTAACAGATCCAGGATATAATTTAGGGGGGCTTCAGCCCGAAAGATTTTGTTTTTATTTACATATTACGATAATTACTTTGGAAGAAAGAAAGAAAATAAGTACCCATATGAAATGGTATTTAAGTGATTCTTTAAGTCCTATTAAATGCAATTAAACAAACAATAATACTTTTAGAGATTTTTTTTTTCATAAAACATGGTTATATTTTAACATTTTGGAGGGGCTTCAGCTCGAAAGCTCCTCCCCGTAGATCCACCTGTGGATGTTCCAAAAGGTAAACTTTCAACTCGAGAGACCTACAGATGTGACACAGGCCATTACTAAAAACTAATATCTGCCACTAATTTGTAGGTTTCATAAATCTGTGTTAGTCATATATTTATGCTGCTGGCAAGTAGACGACAACTGTTTTCCATGCTTCTTTTCCTGAGATAAAATAGTTATGTCTTGTTGGTCACATAAGTAGCATTTTGTCACAGGAGGCCAGTAATAAATCTCAAATAATAATTGGATCTTATATATTGTAATGTAAATATTACATAGTGATTTTGAATAGTGGCGCGAAGGTTGTGACTTCACGAACTACTGCCAAAAATGGACAAAGAATGACAGATGGTGGGGGAAGAAGAGCCATATGTTAAGGTAGAATGTAGCCAACCAACTAGTAAAGAGGATCGAGAGAAGAAAATGAGTTAACAAGTAGTGAGTGTCTACAACTAGATGAAGACAAGAAAATAAAAGGACAAGAGAAAGTCGTAGAAGTTGGATACAATATCGAGGAAGATGCACTGCAGAACAGGGTGAGTGAAACATAAATAGACAGGTTGAAAGTGCGCCAAGAGTAGACCCCAATAGAAATGGAAATTCAATTCAAAATAAAATTCAAAGTCAAACAATGGAAATTCATAAATAAGTTATATAAAATTAATGTATGCCTTAGTATTATATAATTGTGGATATGTGTTAGTTGTCTCAACCCAACCTGAGAATTAATTATTGATTAAAATAAATATTATTTGATTCAGAAAATGTTTTGTTTTCTTTTCAAAGGGAACGTAACCTTACAATATGTATATGGACGTATGTATATACTTACAAATAAAAATAACAGTAAAATATAAACAATCATAGCGGCATCTGTAGATAAAAAGGTTCCTTGCCTATGTTCTAGACTTTAACAACTTTTGAATAAATCCACATGAATATCATGAATTAAAATTGTGTTACCACAGTTTGTATTCAACCATGATTTACATAATACTATGGAAACTGTTAATGTAGCTGAATTTTTTATGCATTTATTTTTCTCACACTCTAAAGTTTTCATGTAAATATTGTACGAGTGATATATATCAAATATTAGATAGATTTACTATCTATCAAAATTAAGATAACCTTATCAGAGATAAATGAAAACAATTACCTTGTACCAAATGACTTCAGGCTCAGGAACACCAATAACAGAGCAATTCCAACTTATAGATGTTCCTACATCAATGATTACTTTTGAACCATTCATGTTAGAAAACATTGTGAATGAAGGAGCTTTCCTGTCTTGAACTAAAAGTTTGAATTCCTTTTCTTTATAAACACTAGACATCAATGTTTTGGCTCTACAAATATAATTCCCTGATTTATGAGAATTTACATCTGATAAAAACAAAAAAGTCTGATGTGAAAAAAGAGTATCATTTTTCATTATCGATATTCCAGTACCTAAAAATATTACTTTGTTAATAAAGGTAGTTTATTTTAAGCAAACAATTATCATACTATCATAAAAATTCTGTAGTATTACAGTATTAGAGCATTATAATGTCTGGAAATGAGAAGTATATAAATATTTGTCGGTTAATAACTTTTAAGTTTTGATTATTTAATCCCTAAAGTAATGAATAGTATAAACCAGTCTAGTGATTTGTCTATGAGAAGTTATACATATTTTTGGATATTTAATAGTTGACCGTTGCATTATAAAGGAAGGAGACGGTCTGGGGTGGCGTTCATAAATAGGCTAAATAGTGGCAAAACTATTTTATTAAAACCCAACGTTTCTACCAGACTTTGTAGGTCTTCTTCAGGGCTAGAGCGGACAAGATACAAAAAGATAGAGAATTGTGGAAGTTACATAATATTTAGACAAAAAATTATAAACAATGTGAATAAGCTTATTAAAATTATAAACAGTAAGTACTTTAAAATATAAACAGGATAAGCTAAGTAACAAGATCCTAAACTGAAGTAAATAGATGGTAACAATTGTTGTAGTGTAATATATAATATATGCAAATGTGAATATACTTCTACAGATCTACAGGAGAGATTGAAAGAAAAGGAAAAAGGATATAATATGAAATAATAGACATAAAGGAATGTGGAGAAAGAAAAGAAAACCAAAAAATAAGTAAATAAAACTAGAAGAATAAAAATAGAGACTTACAGGTGTGTTCAGCTAGGAGTTTCACTTAGAACTGGAAAAACAGGGTAAAGGCAAGTATTGGGGAATTTTTTCACTTGTTTGGGTAATGGGGAAAAACCTAGAAAATTATAGTATCTAAAATTTGAAGATATGCATGGATACAAGGGAAAAAAATACTATATCTATGAAATATAATTATATATACATAATAAAAATAATATTATATAAAAATAATATTATAAATATATACACATACATATAAAATAGAATTAAGAGATTATAGATGAGAGTACAATGTGAATAAAAACAAAAATGGAAGAAGTAAAACATAAATATAGAAATAAGAGACCATACATTGCAGAACTAGCTTAGAAGTATAGACAGGGAAACAAATGAATAATTATAATTATATTTGGTTGTACATAATTGGTAAATTTTGTCACACTCCGTAGATTATCCTTACCCTGACCTCTTCATGACCAATACCTTAATATCCTGTCAAGTTAATTCCCAATCCCTTCTAGCACATTATGACGAATTCCTCGATTATTTTCACCATAACTTCCATCATATCATAGCCGTTTCAGAAACTTGGCTCAAACCTGATATTCCCTCCCTATCCGTTTCCTTATCCAACTATACCCTATACCCAATATATATACTATACCCAAAAAGACTCATGAATTGTTTCATAAGATACATTTTCGGGATCCCCAGGCATTCACATGTTTCACTATGGTACACCGAGTTGAAGTGGCTTTATCTTACTTCCCGACGACAATTCCTTCTTGGCGTTTTCCTTTTCCAAGTCTTCAGAACCAAAAACCCTCCCTACATTCTGGAACTCCTCACTCTGCGCTCCTCTATCCACTCTCTCAATACTAGGTCTCAACCTATAGACTTATATATTCCCTCCCATAAAACTTCCTCCTTCAGCAAATCCTTCGTCATTTGTGCTGTTTCCTTATGGAACTCACTTCCTACCTCCATGCATCAATCCTCATCCACAAATTCCTTCAAACAACTCCTGTTCCAACACCTACTCCACATTCAAACTTCCCCTAGCATGTAAAATTACTTGCATCTATACAATGTTTAATTTCAATCCATTGCACAATTGAAATAACAATTAACAATAAATTAGTTGGTATTTTTATTATGTCAGACTAAGATACATAAATTTGTAACTCTGTTATTATTCTTAGGGGACAGTAGTCCCAGAATAAAATTATTTTTTCATTCATTCATTCATTTTCATTCATATGTAAGAATTACATTTAAATATTAGATGCTGGAGGAGACTATAACGCTAAACACCAACGATGGGGTTGTCGAGCATCCAACTCCCGTGGTAATATACTATCTTCTGTCTCAACTTCTAATAGTTACTCCATCCTCTCACCTATGAATCCTACCTATTGGCCAACCTCTCTCAAAAAACGACCTGATATCTTGGACATATTTGTCACCTCCCAGATTTCCTCTTCCTACGTCACTATCAAATCTCTGGATGACCTCTCTTCAGATCATAGTCCAGTTCTGCTTTCATTGCACTCAACTTCTGTTCCTAAGCTCTCCTTTTCTCCTTCACTTATCACAGGACGAGTAAACAGGGACAAATTTCGTAAAGACTTGGATAATAAATTGGACCTAAATATTCCACTTAAGAAAAATGACATTGACTCAGCCATAGAGGTACTTACTTCACCTATAAGTGACAAAATTAACGATAACACATCAACCAATAAAAATAACAACTCCCAACAGACTAACTTGTCACAGCAGATTCGTATCTTATTAAAGGAAAAACGCAGAGCAAGATCGAAGTGGCATAGGACTAGATACCCATCAGACAAGTCATATTACAATAAGTTAACTAACCAACTAAAAGCTGAAATTAGGAGATACAAAATCCAAAGTTTACTTAACTTAACAGAAAATCTAACAACTACTGACAAATCACTATGGTTGACCACTAAAAAGCTCTTAAAATTCAAAGATTTTAACCATCCACTTCTTACCGAAACCCAAACCTGGTCTAGATCTGATAAAGAAAAATCTGAAATATTTGCTCAACACCTCTTCAAAACATTTAATCCACACCCAGATATCCTAAATCCAATCCACCTTGAGTGTATTGAAGCAGAACTCGATATTCCACTCCAATTGACCCTTCCACCTAAAGCATTTCATCCTTCAGAAATATCCAATATCATTCATAGATTACCTTCCCGCAAAGCTCCTGGCCATGACCTAATCACATCCCAGATCCTAAAACTGCTTCCTCAGAAAGCCGTATTATTCCTCACCTATATATATAATGCGGTACTCCGAACTAGATATTTTCCTGACTCTTGGAAACTATCCATAGTCAAAATGATACCGAAACCCACAAAGCCTCCAGAATACCCATCCTCTTACCGTCCTATCTCTCTTTTACCCATTATGGGCAAAATCCTAGAAAAACTCATCTTAAAACGCCTGTATCCCATCCTAGATTCTAATAACATAATCCCAGATCACCAATTTGGATTCCGTACATCTCACTCCACTATTCAGCAATGTCATCGTGTGTTAGACGTGGATTCCTCTGCATTGGAATGTACTGCACGGGAGTCTTTCTCGACGTTGAACAGGCGTTTGATCGAGTCTGGCATCCGGGACTGATGTACAAACTCCGTAAATTCCTACCACCTACATACTTCCTCATTATCCGTTCCTACCTTAGTGATAAATACTTCAAAGTAAATCACAAAAATGCCTGTTCATCTCTTTTATCTCAATTTGCTGGTGTTCCTCAAGGTAGTATCCTAGGTCCTATCCTTTACACAGTTTATACAGCTGACATTCCAACCCATCCCAACACTGTCATCACCACCTATGCCGATGACACGTGTATCCTATCAGTTAACAACGATCCATCAATTGCATCCCAAACTCTCCAATTACACATCACAAATCTTGAAGAATGGTGTCAAAACTGAAGGATTAAAATAAACTCCAATAAATCCCATCAAATTACCTTTACCCTGAGTCGCAAACCTATGACCTCCTGTCCTACAGTATTTTTTAACAATTCCCCACTTATCCCAGTTGAACATTCGTTACCTAGGACTCCACCTCGACAAACGACTCACATGGAATCCTCATACAAGACTGAAATGACAAGAAACCGCTCGAAGTTTCCGACTACTCCAACACTTACTAGACAAATGCTCTAAGCTTTCACTCAATTACAAACGACTCATATATATGACAATAATAAGACCTATTTGGACCTATGGGATTGAGCTCTGGGGCTCCACTAAGCCATCGAATTCCTCTCGTATCCAATCCTTACAATCCAAAATCCTTCGTAAAATCCTCAACGCTCCTTACTTTGTCACAAACAAAATCATCCATAAAGACCTTATTAATGTTCACATGTTTCCGATTTGGCCCAATCCAGATACCTATCCTTCCATAACAAACTGCAGAACCATCCGAATCCTCTCGTTTCAAACCTTGCTTCCTCCTCGATCCCTGATAACCCTCCGAGGCGTCTGAAAAGAAGATAACCTCGGGATCTTCTAATATAGAACTATAATTTCAGTTCTACCAATGGGTAGTTTCACTTCATGTTTTACATGTCATGTTACCAATGTCACATTTACCTGTTGTATTTTTAATGTAATACAGTTGTAAATTTCAATAAAATTATAAATAAAAAAAAAATATTAGATAATATTGAGACATGGTCAAAAAGTAAAATGAATACAAAGTGAAAATGGGTGATCATACATTGATGTAGAATGTAAATATAAAATTAAAATAAAATAAAAGAGATCATACAAAGCGGAAATACTTAGAATAATGAACAATTAAATTGAATTAATCAATAAACAATGAAAGTAGATAAAAAAAATAGAATGTGATATATAAGTTATTTTTCACTTATAAGATTTAAAATGTGTCTATATGTTAAAGAAATGCAGTTTTTATCTACTTTATGATTAACAGGATTCTTTTCCATGTGAATGTGGATGGATTCAGAAATGAGTCTTCTTCATGGATAGGGACCGTGGCAAGAATAGAGGTTTTCTCAAAATGAATGGTTGAGGGTTAAGGTATGTTCTGATAGTTTGGAGGCCAAAGGGTTCCGGGAAGTTATGGATGTTTTATGTTGGGGAATAAGGGTTTTGAGCTGGCTTTTGGTTTCACCAATATAGAAGCTATTACAATTAGGAGTAGAGCAAGGTATCCGGTAAACTACATTAGATCGGTGTTGTAAATGTATGGGATCCTTCAAGTTGGTGAAAAAGAAAGAAAGTTTGTTATGGGACTTAAGGCCAAGACGTAAGTTGGTCATAGTCGATTTAAGGAATTTATGTATATTAATAATAATAATAATAAGGCTTAGCGAACCCGAAGGTTCGATGCCGACACCACCAATCGCTTGTTACACACCTCCCTCCACCGTTCGCCGTCCAAACCCAGTCCCTTCAGATCGGCTTTAATGCAATCTTCCCACCTTCGCTTCGGTCTTCCCCTCGGACGCTTACCATTCGGCACAGCAAATATTAACCTTTTAGGAATTCTCTCGTTACTAAGCCCAACAACTTTACAAGCCCATTTGATTCGCCGCGATGAAATTACCTCAATTATATTACCCGGATACATCTCACGCAATTCGGCGTTGTGTAACCGTCTGAACTCTCCGGTTAACTCATCCTTCTTCGGTCCGAATATTCTACGCAATACTTTATTTTCAAAAACCTTAAGACGCTGCTCATCCCTTAATGTAAGCGGCCAAGTTTATTTATGTATATTATCTGAGAGAATAGGAATATAGGGGAGAGATTTTTATATGAAAGGAGTGGTAGGTTATTGTGGGGAGTTGGGAGAAGGGGAGGTTGTACTATTTTTGGTTGTTTAGCAGTTTAAAAGTTTAAGTATGGTGTTGAGAGGGAAATTATTGTAAAGTAATGATGTGGAATGAAGTGGAAATTATTCTAACCTTGAAGTGGAAAGATTTTAAAAACTTAAACATTACTTACTTGGAACATTCGCTAACACCTGTCCCTCTGGGTCTTTATCAGTTTTGTATATCCAGTCAATTTGTCCATGATACTCATATTTAGATGCACCACAACCTAGCAATATGTTATCAGAACTAAGAACACGATGTCTTGGACCCCAAATATCAAATCCACCATTAACATCAGATACTCTGAATTGGATAGATTCTTCCTTCTGTCCTAAATAATTTGCTGCCAAACAAGTAATAATACCAGATTCACTAGCATACCATTCCACTGTTGACAGCCATTTTACTTCATTTATATTTATTAATGGTTTTGAGTGCTGAAAAAAAATTATTAATTACAACACAAGATTATTAATAGTGAAAACTAATACATAATAAAAGAGACGAAATTTGAAAAAAAAAAAAATGTGTTTCTCAGCGAATTTATTTTAGAATTCAAATGAATATTTTTTTGAAATAGGAGTAAGATTGAGAATAAACTTGAATTTTAAATTCTAATAAACTTTTTATTATATATATATAAATATATATATATATAAGATAAGGACAGGAGCCGGCAGTATCAGCCTTAATACCTTCCTGGTATGTAAACAAAGCTCTGAAATGTATATAAGAAGGATTACTTCACAAATAAAGCAGTATTGTTTCTGAAGCCGTGTGAGTCATTTAACAGCCCTTTTCTCCTTTTTTTTTTTTATCGCTCTATTTCACAGTCGCATAAGTGGTGCCGAAACCCGGGACACTGTTATTGCCCAGTAAGTAGTGAACTATTTTTTTTTCTCTCTTACTTTCTCAAGCAGGGAAATAGAATTAGAATGGCGACAGACGGAATTCCTAACCCGGGAATATCAATTGCACCGGAAGTTCTTCAGGCTCCTGAAATCCCTCCGCTATCAAGGGACACATTGGCGGAAGCACACGCCAACGCTTTGGAGTGGATGAAAGTAAGAGCAGCGACCACTCAGGATCTAAGGAGAGCTATAGCGGACTTGGAACGCTTCGGTGGAGAGGTAGGCGAACTGAATCATTTTCTGAAAGGTGGGGACCGTCTCATTTCCAGAATAGAGGCAAAGCTGGCCGAAGATTTGGTGAACTTGGGGGATGCCGAAGCATTGAAAGCAGCCTTGGTATGTAGAGTACGGAGAAGTGTTCTTAACCAGATACAGGCAGACGAAGATACATCATGGCCAGTGATCAAACAGAGGTTGAAGAAGGCTTTTGGGGGAGGCCGATGGACTCCAGAGAAGGACATCTTCCAGATGTTCAGGGAACGACAGTCGCAACGACAGACAAACGGACAGTATGCTGGAGTACTATTGGCAAAGTACAACCACATCACGGAGAAGATGCGCGAAATGATGAGCGCAGGCGAAGTAGAAGCCAGGATGGAGTTTTTGTCAACTATCCTCAAGGTTCAACTGGCCAAGGAGACGGGAAAGAGGGACGGCTTACCAAGAGAGCGGTCGTTCCTAGAGTGTGCCCAGGAGATGGTCGACTTTAGCGCGAGGGAGGAAGAAAGTAGAACCCGCACATCAGGTCCGCACCGATAGGTTGGAAGAAAAGGGAACCCGGATACGGAAACAGAGGAAGGACCACAACAGGAGAAAGAAAACCAGGACCACCCAGGCCACGAAATGGACCCCTCGAAATGTCATGGCTGTGGAAGGACGGGACACTTAGTGGCACAATGTCCCCGCACTAAATGTTTCGAATGGGGGACAGAAGGACACATTGCAAGGCAATGCCCGTACATGTTCAGAAGGAGGGTAACGGCACAAGATGAGCCGATGGAGGTCAACATGCATAAGGTGACGAGGAACCCTAATACGACTCGGAGAAATGGGCCTTCAGAGGAGGTAACGGAGATATCAGAGGCCTCGGAGACGGAGGAAGAGGAACCAGGGAGCAGCGGAGACGAAGGAGGAAGGAGCACGCAGTGGAGCGGACAGAGACGAGCGGCAACAGGGAGGAGCAAGCAGGCCAGGATCTGAGGAGTGTGTCTTCAGAGCGGCGACCGCACAGCGACATGCAATAATATAAGAGGTAAGTCTTGCTGGTTGCCAATCATCACAATAACAGGGGGAGTGAGGTGCTTGAGGTGAAGTACTTCGAAGGGCGAGAACCCAGTGACGGAATGAATTGAATGGTTATATGCTATTATCGCCTTTTTCATAGCAATGTCGGGCTCCAATCCTTTTTCTCCCTGATACATGCGTATATGGTTGCTCAGGGTACTATGCAGCCGCTCGATGCTACCTCTGCTTTTGGGGTGCCCTGGTGTATAGAAGTGCCAGTTTATCTCCAAGCGTTTTGCCTCCTCCCTCATTGTGCTATTGTCAAATTCCCTTCCTCCATCAGAAGAGACTCTCTCAGGTACCCCGTAAAATTGCATCCATGTTTGAATAGCTTCTAAAGCTGCATCGGACGATTTCTCTAATATCTGGTACGCCATAGCAAGTTTGCTAAAGATATCGATTATGGTTACCCACTTATACCCTCTCAATGTGAAGGTGTCGATCTGGAGATCTTGTAATGGTGAGTCTCCCGTGGGTGTCTCTTCCAGTCTTCCCTGAGGTGGGTGTCTGTCATATTTTGTGCGCATACACACCTCACACGTTCCTATCGTTTCTTGGATGGTCTTCCTCATTCCCCACCAAAAGTACTTCCTGCGTAGTGCCTGTAAGGTCTCGTTCACTCCCCTATGGTTTGTTTTCCCCTGGTGATACGCAAGGGTCACTTCCTTTTGTCGTTCCTCGTCCGTTATTGTCTCCGCCATATATTTGCATCGGACAAACATTCTGTCTATTCCGATTTTTTTGGACCTCCAAATCCTCTTAATCTTTTCCCATATTGTGGCGTTCCCCACATAGAGATGATTCGTCTTCCCTGGCTCCGATGCATCCTTCAGCACCCTGCAGATTTGATCCTCATGCACCCCTGGTTGCGACCAGATTGTGTGAACCTTCTACAATTATAGAATGGGAACTATAGTAACTATAGTAGTAATTTAAATAGTTTTAATATTGTTGGATGGGTTTATAATGTTGACATTTGATTTTATGAGATGACTAATGTACATATATTTTAATTAGTTGATATTTATTTATGTTTTTTGCAATTTTAAAGAATTAGATATTTATTTGTATTGTTAATGATTTTAAAGTCAGTTCCAAAATGTACATGGATGTATGTATGTGTGGGTGTGTGTATATGTATGTATATATATATATATATATATATATATATATATACACATATACATATATATGTGTTTGTGTGTGCGTGTGTGTGTGTGTGTGTGTGTGGGTGTGCATATGTATTTATATATGGATTGTATGTGTGTATAAGTATATATTTAATGTTAATTAATTTGCATAAGTTAAATTGTTGTACGACCAGGAGATGTTATACAAGCTGTTTTTATTATTCATAGATATGTTTTATTGATGCTGGTATATTGATCATAGAAGCATCTTTCAATTGTTTTATATAAAATAGAGGCAATTTTTCATTGTTTATTGTGTAATAATTTGTCTTAGGGCTCAGGACCGGGGAGGGCAGACGCTTAGCGATCCAGTAGCTCAATATATGTGCTAGTGGACGGTGTTGAGACTGTCGGTGTGTCCCTGGCCTGATCGAAGCTCTATTTTTTAAAAGTAGGTTAAACGTTTTTAAATAATTGTTATTAAAGTCATATGGAAGTAATATTGTGTACCGATTGAGCTATTTGTATTTCTAGCTTTGAAGAGGATCCCATGGTTGACTAATAAAAAGAAAATACCGGGATCGAAACGTCTATAAACAGAAGAAATGAACATTCAATAGTTTATTAAATAATAATTAAGTGACCTTATTCCCAATTAAATAGTTAAGTTTAAATATATATATATATATATATATATATATATATATATATATATATATAAATGTATTTTTGTTAACTTTATCCTCTTCAGGCATTAATGATTCAGAATTACATAAATTTAAATAAATTATAGAAAACAACATTTACTCTTTGTCAGAAAAAAAAAAAAATTGTTGTCCTCTTATAATATTTTTAAGTAAATGTAATGTTTATAACTCTAGTGTACATCAACTACCATTATTACAATACACAATTTGTTAAACCTACATTTTGCAAGTCATTGAACCAATATTTTTAATCAATCATTCTATTTTAATTTTATTAATTCCTATAAAAAAAAATTCTATACTACAGATTTATCTTGACAATTAACTCACCTGGATTCCTTAGATAAAACTAAAACAAACATAATACATATAATAAAACAACCTGTTTTTCAATTTAAACTATTTTAAAATTTTCTAAATAAATGATCAAATCGTTCATATCTGGGGCTGGACCATTCTGGGCGGAACGGAATGGAATGAATTCCACCACTGCAACGATTCAGAACAGAACGAGACTCTCCAAAACTTCATTCCACTGGAACATAATCTAAGAATATAAAATTATTTAGGTTTCGATGGGTAAATTTTCGGCAAAAAAGTCAAATAGGTACAAAAGGGATTTGTCGCCGAACTGAATAAACAGAATAGTCGGATACTTTGTTTGCTTCAAAAGTGAACCATAATGACTAAATTTAATTTAGTGTTTGATTAAATATAAAGAAATATAATTAAATAGAATATAAGATCCTAACAATAATTTAAAGATAGAAATTTGCAAATTTAAAAAATATTAATTGTAATACCAAGATTCAGACAAACTAATGAAATAATTATAAATAATATTAAATAAACATTTTAATCAAATTTTATTATTATTATTAAGACCAATGGTAAATATGTGGTTCTGTTGTGCAAATGAAATTTATCATAGAAAATTTTAATCATTGGTTTATTTGGATTTAGAAAACCTAAGATTTAGAATTTTATTTGATTTTACTTTTTACTTAAAAAAGTCATCAGAGATACTAATACTGTTTAAACATTTTAAAAGTTAAAAAAATATTGTTTTTTATTAAATTTTGGCTTTTTTTATTATTATTTTATTTTTAAGTCATATTAAAATGGCAGAACGAAGAAGAAACAGAATGAACAGTCTTGTTAGTCATAATAAAAATTCCTTGAACCGGTTCGATGAAACTATTCCACCTCTCGAATGGTTCGGAATGGTTCCACCCTGGAATGGTTACACCCTGAACGGTATTTATCGTTCCACCCAGAACGGTCTTTCTTGTTCCAAGGAGCTATGGAATCTCGTTCCATCAGAATGTGAATGCTTTTAAATTTGATTACATTGCGTTTTCGTTCCAATCTGAGATTTCATTCTAGCATCCGTTTGAAATGATTATGATACAGATTAAAGTGTCTACGTGTTGTTATTTTAAGTTTAAATTTGTAAGTCTTAAATTAATTAAATTGTGTGTATAATGACAAAAGCAAATTAGAAAACAGAAATGAATTTTTATTCATTAATATTTTTCTGTAAATATAAATTTTGAAAATATTGATTGACGTGGAACCGAAGTAGCCACTACACTCAACATTTCTTTGGCAATCATGTGCAAATAAGGATAGTTGTTCTGGAGACCAAACCACTACTTAATAGGGTCCATATAAAATATTCTTTTCTAAGTACCTGTTTAATTAAATCATTGCCTTTGATTCAGGTGTGCCATTTTGAGAATGTTGTTCTCCTCAATGTTCTTAAAACTTCCAGTTCTTTTTTTTTTTTTCATTTCTCTGTGCTCCTCTTGGTTTATCATAATTTTCCTCAGCCTCAATGAATGATTTTTCAGTTGTTTTAAATTGTTTCAGTATTACACATATTTGCTTTATTATTCTCTATCTCGGTTCATATGTTTTTCAGAACGAAGATGGAATGGAACGAGAAGTGGACCGAATTCCAGTGGTGGAAAATTCCATTCCGTTCTGTAGTCTGAATTGCTCATCCCTATTCATAACATTCCCAATACTCCTAATTGAGCCATATATACACCTTGGCCAGTTAATAAAGGATGTCTCCATTCCTTCATCAACACACACATATATATATTTATACCTTGGCCAGTTAATAAACGATATTCCCATTCCGTCATTTCTTCCATGGTTTGGCCTTCAATTCGTGGTGAGGTATATAGTAAGTACTGCAGGTTTTCCTTTCATCTACAATTTTCCCAGCCAAAATTCAGTATATTTTGCCTCTAGGAAAAAACCCATTGTTCATCATTTAAATAAAAATTTTAACCATTCTTCTCTCGAAGATTTATGTGCAATATCAATCCCTTCTGAACTATTAAAACCTCTAGTACAATCTTAAGTCTTCAATTTCATCGAAAAATTCAATCAACAAGATCCTCAACAAGAAGAAATATCATTTACATTTTTTCTAATTCAGTAAAAATATTACTAGTACGGTATAACTTAGAATCGACCCAAATATTTTTACATCTTTTTACGCAATTACGAAATTAATCTCAACTTACTCTGTAGCAAACCACAACTTAATTAATATAGATTTTAAGCTCATCAAACAATGAAGTCTTTCTGAAAGAGTGGTATCTTCAGTCGCTGGGGGTTAGCAAAACAAACCGCAAAGAATTCTTGATTTTGTGAAGACCCGAACTTGCTGTAGTATAATTGTTTAAAAGTCCCCTTTAAATGGTTTTAAAAAAGATAAAATTTACTTGCATTTAATAACAATTTAATCTAGTTTACTATGAGGTAATTGCTTATAACCTAAATTAAACATTTTTTTTAGTTAACTTTAATTAACATGCAACATAAATGTGGTTGGCTTAACAATTTCAAAATATAAGGTTCTCTGTATGTAATCAGACCATGGTTTATGGTAACTTTTTGTAAGTTTTAATGTCTTTTATCACATATTATCAATTATATGAAATTAATTTCAATCTAAACTTCATATCATTATCATGAAAATTCCCATTGATTGATATAAAATATAGTGATGTAGAGATGGTTGACCGTTAATATAATATGAGAAGGAGTTAGTCGAGGGTGCGGTCAAATAAATAAAAAAATTAAAATATATAAATTATTTTAATTTTTGCCGAGTGGTAAAATAATTAAAATAATTTATATATTTTAATTTTTTTATTTATTTGACCGCACCCTCGATTAACTCCTTCTCATGATATAAAATATAATTCTGTTGTTTAAGACTTTAGAGAATCATTAAAAGAAAGAAACTTTGAATAATAATTTGAATGATCGAAAATGTTAAAAAACCAAATTAAACTTAAAAAAGGTATCGTATACTATAAACAACATAAATTTTGTGGTTTGGAGCAAATTTTGCTTTAAGTGGAAATGCAATAATTATAATGTCATAAATATCTCCATAACCATTGATTTTATCAAAAAAATGTATAAGGTCATTTTTATGGAGATTTTAAAATACTTTAATATTGTACTGAATAATCTTTACATAAAACCTCATGGTTTTTGAGATATTCTAAAAACAACATCAGTTTTCTGTATTTTTCTCTCTCCCTCCCATCAAAATCTGATGCAGGATTTTTTTTTAGGAATTTTTACCAGTTATAATGGGGAAGGGGGTAATGAACAATTTCTGACAAGTTCCATCTTTTTTTTTTTAAATGTTGGGGTCGATCCCTAAACTACAGGGCCTTCAAGAGTCATAGGCCATTGGGTTAGTGTCAAGGCAAACTTATGTTAATCTTCTAACATTTATACTCCTTTTCACAGGTATGTCTCTTTTCAACACTTCTTTGTTGCCTGCTCCATTTCATTCTAGAATTTTCCTCCCTCCTCAAATCTCGCATAACTCTTTACCCTTCTAATTCTTTACCCACATTTCAAACTCTTCTATTCCATTTTCTCTTTGCAAAACAGCTAAACATTGGCTAACCATATATAATGCAACAAGGCTTCATTTTTATTATTGACATTTTATTTATGAATACGAACAGATATTTCTTTTCAGCATTTTTATGTTTTACTTATATTATTTATGTATGTTCCAAAATAGAATAAAGATTTATATACATACATACATATATATATATATATATATATATATATATATATATATATATATATATATATATATATATATATATATATATAAATTTGGTGCAGTGCATCACAAAACTTTCGATTACCACCTTACTTTCAGAAGAAATTTACTTTTTTAATTTTCATATTAAAAAATATGAAAATTAAATAATATAAAGTACAATCATTCTGTGCACTACCTATTAAGGTTTTCCATTTATTTTCCATGAACATTTCATTAAGTTTCCATGAAAACCTTTATTTCTCATTCAATATTTAACAATAATAACGAAAGTCCCAGACCCTGAAACAGCATCCCTAAACCTAAAAACATACATCTCTCTAATAGAGTAGTGGTGCAACAATTAGTGCATCAAAATCAATGAATCCAAATGCAAGCATTCCACCTTTACCATTCAATGCAGATCCTGTCTACCTATCATTTTAAACTCAGTACTTCTTTCCATCTCGGACAAAGTTCATTATCTTGGATTCCTTTTAGACAAAAGACTAACATGGAACCCACATACCAGACTTAAAAGACTAGAGCTTAACCGACGATTTGGCCAGTTATAGAGGCTACTTAACAGAAAATCTAACCTCTCAATTGAAAACTAACTATTAATATACAAGACTATACTGAAACCCATCTAGACCTACGGACTTGAACTGTGGAGGAAAACTAAATTTTCGAACATCAAACACATCCAATCCTTCCAGTCTAATGTCCTTCGTACAATAGTAATTGCTCCTTATTATGTAACAAACAAAACTTTACATCATGATCTTAATATTCCGTATGTCCTTGACGTTATTCCATCCCGTTTCTAAAATTTTCATCAAAACCTAATCCATCATCCTAATCCCTTAGCATAATCCTTATCCAGCTCCAGCCATCCCTACAATCCTCCTCGAAGGTTAAAAAGGCAGTGGCCTCGAGATCTTTTGTAAATACGTCATTGGAGTCCTGGCAATGGCCAGCTTCTCCAATCAAGTCATGAGTGTATGTGGCTTTATTGCCTTTTGTTAGTCTCCACTGGATGCCCAACTCAGTGATGCGACTGAGAGAGAAGCGCTAGGATCTCTTAGAGTCTTGCCTTATCTTCCACACGTGAGGGAAAGGGCCTAACTTGGCGCTCCCTCGGCTGATTGTAAATATTGTAAATAAGCATGAGTGTTTTTTTTTTCTTTTTCTTATTTATTTTTTATTTGTGTTGTATCATATTTTATTTCACCTGTTTTACTAAGCTTTCTTTTTCTTCTTTTTGTTATAGTTTCTATTTTTTTTGAAAATTGTATATATTGTATGAAAGAGTTTATCACATCTCAAACACTCAATGCCTTTGATTGTGGCAAAATGTATTTTTTTTTTCTCAATAAAAAAAAAGATAATGAAAGTAGACATTATTAACTTCAATCACAGGCGGATCTATGGGGGAGGGGAGGGCTTTCTGGCTGAAGTCCCTCCCCCCAAAATGGTAAAATATAATCATGTTTTATGAAAAAAATATTTCTAAAAGTATTATTGTTCAACAAATTACATTTAATAGGACTTCAAAAATCACTTAAACAAAATTTCATATAGGTAGTTAGTTTCTTTCTTTCTTCCGAAGTAATTATCCTAATATATACACACAAAAAAATATCTTTCAGGCTGAAGGCTCCCCCCAAAATGAAATCCTGGATTCGTTAGTGACTACAATTAAGTCATAAGTTTTTCATCCATTACCTTCTAAGATTTTATGTATTAAATACTAATTTTTCTAAAATATTTTACATTATAATTTACAACAGTAAATTATTATTACTACTCTTATTTTTAGAAATTTGTTTTCAAACTGCGAAAATATTTCTTCTATTGTTAGTTCATATTATCTGTTTTTTATTACTATTGAAAATGACAGACCTTTAATTATTTCTAATAGCCAAATCAAATGTACTTTATAGAAAGAAATATGGAAAATTTGGCATTTAAGAACCATTAGGTAATTTAAATAAGAATAAGACCTAACTGATATTAAAGTTCATTTAATTTTACATTAATATAATAAGTTTAATCAAAATTGAGTCATTTTCGAGAAAATTGTAATAATGTATAAAAAATCTAGGTGTGAACAATAATTTTCTCGTCTTTTTAAGGTAAATTCATAATTTCAATGTGTCGTGTAAACACTCAAACACACACACTTATTGATTATCTGGATTGATTTCTTACTTCTAATTATTAGATTTCTTTCAATCAAGAGTAAATTCAAAAAAATGTTTGGAAAAGAATAATTAAAATATTTTACCATTGGAATAGCAGTTTGCTTATGACCTTCAGCACAAAATGTTTCATAATCTGTGCATTGATGAAAGGTCCATCTGACTGTAGGCTTAGGGAATGCGATAATAGTGCAATTTATTGATTGTTCCTTATTAATATCAAAATAAAATTTTTCTTTATAATTCAAATAAACTTTAGGCTGATCTGAAAATAAATAAATATTTTAAATGGTGTACTTCATTATTATTAAAATTATTTTCTGTTGAAAAACATAAATGATCTAACAACAGAGCACAAAATATACATATCAGTGAGTAGGTGTGCTATTCCCATTGTTTAGACTGTATTCAGTATTTATTTTACGAACCACATGGTATATCAATTCTAGCAACTAATTTATTTGGATTGATTAATGTGGTTTAGCCGGACCTAGTAGAATACAGCTATATGTAAAGTCTGAATAGATGAAATGTTGAACAATTAGTTACTAACTTCATCATGGGAACCTAAAGACTTTGAAATCTTCTCACTAGTTCTCCAGAACTGATTATTTTCTCTGATTGATGATTCACATCTTTTTTGTTACCATATTTGAAGATGAGGAACAGAGGAAACTCCAAATTACCAAACTTGATACCAACTAAGAAAAAAGAGTATTTTGTTAAAATCATTTTCTCATAAAGAGGGTGTCACAGAAGAAATGCCAGTAATTGAGGAGGGGATTATCTACCGAAAATGTAGATTAGCGCAGCCAACCGCATCTTCCTATCTCAAATATGAAGTTATCAAGATATGACATGTTAAAGGATTTTTCAAGAAAATTACTTCTTTCCGACGAAAATCCCATTTTGTTATATAAATGAAAATTTCTCAATTTTAGTCACCACTTTTGGCATCTATGATCGATATACTACAAGATAGCTAGCAATTTGACAGGAAAATATCGATTAATCAAGCTATCATATCAGCCAAAGCAAGGTAACCAAGAAAAAGTAAATGATTTTTAGAAATAATCTCTGGAATTTCAAACAATAAAATTTTGAGATGCTGCCTAGGGGATTTCAACAAAGTTACTTCATTTCATTAGATTTTCAAGGGTGTACACAACTTTTCCAAGCTTATTTAAATGAAATTGGGAGGTCAAAAAATGTTAGATACCTCACAATAAGAGTACTAGTATCTTTTACATTATATTTTTCTAATACCGCGGTATGTTTTGTCCCAAAAATAATTATTTTGTATTCGTTTATTTCTACAAATTTTTTGGGCATCTCCGATGAAGCCCCAACATAAATGTTTTGTACTGCTTTTATTGCAGTAGAATAATTAAGGTTCCTCTCTGGGGGCCCTAAATATCGTTATTTTTTATTTTTCCAAAACTGTGGTGTTTGCCACAAAAATAATTGGTTTGTATTAATTTATTTCTGCAAATGTTTGGGGCCCCTTCGATGTGTCCACTTATATATATATATATATATATATATATATTCTCCTGATAAGGGGGCTCCACTTCAGACTCTAACTTAGGGCCCCGAATGGAGCCAGATCAGGCCTGCTTTGTGGCATGGTAAAGTAAGGTGGAATCCCAATTGTGGAATTACTGCACATGTCAGTGTTGCAAAGGTATTGGCTAAAATCTCTCTGTGGTTCTTGAACTTTGGGAACTTCATATTGTAATCCGCTCTCATTAATGGATTAATGATATCAGGATTGTAAAATGTAAAATAATATTTTTAAAAAGTTTATAGATAGCAGCAAGGATTTCAGTTCATAAGAAAATTTTTAATCAGGATTTCCTTAAATTTCAGCTTTGATACTTCTCCAGTGACTTGCCAAGTTAATTTGTTGAAAAATTTTAATTCTAAGTATTTCAATAGTGTATTTGAGAAACATTAAAATGCTGGAAAATGTTAAGTCGTGTAAGAGAAGTATATTGTGATGTAAAAATAAAATATTATGGAATAAAATGTTTCACAAAATATCATGAATAATGAAAAATTTATATGCTTGGATAAAAGGCATTGTAATCTAAAGCTATGGAAGTGTTCTGCATTTATCTTGTATTGCTTAATGTGGAAGAACACTCAAAATGAAATAAACAGACATAGCATTTCATTAATAAGAATGTTTGTTTTCATAACAAACTTTGAAAGTTAAAATACAGTGCTATATCAACTGAATGTGTCAATTATAATCAAATGGACAAAACAACAGTATGTAGTCTTAAAATTTAAGTTTCCTTCTCATTAAATTAGATAGTACCTACCTTCAACTAACAATGTCACATTTATTGTTTCTTTTTTAATACTGCTTTCTGCTTCCAATGTATAAACACCTGAATCAAAAATTGAAATGTTCTTGACAATTACTTTAGTTTGAGATGACTCAATGTGAACTTCATATTTATCAGGATTAGAAAGAGAATTATTTGCAGGTCCAAACCTAAAATGGAAGAAAAAATTATTAGACTTACATAATTTATTTTAGCTTATTTTTTATATTTAATAAAGCAATGAATGATTCAGTCATTATCAAATCAGTAATTCTACTTTAAAAAATATAATATATGGAATAATTTATAAATTATAATAAAAGAATTAAAATCAGAGAACTGCACCTTTAGTAATGAGTGTAGGGTTCAAAATGACATAAAATTGAATTAAATTAACAAAAATTAAGACAGGAAAAAATACAAAATAGTGAAAATCGGGAATTCTAATTGCTAGTTTTTAGGGTCAATGTAAAAATTATCTGTTCTTTAATAGGAATTTAAGGTAAAAATATATGAAACCAAAACATATATTATATCTCCTAATAAATAAATTCTAAGATTAATCTTTAACTAACATTAAATAAAATAAATATTGATGCCATGTTGGTGACAAAACTTGCATTTGGATGCAATATTGAAACATTTAGAAATTTAAAACTTTATTTCAGTAAGAGAATCTTTTTCTTAATAAGCAACGTTTACCATGAATACCATATTTATTTTCAGAAATAGCCATGATCTGGTAATGAAAATCTTTGTGCCACAAGACAAAGAGGACATCAATATCAGTCCAAGGTAATAGCTTATTAGTTATTATTAATGAACACTTCTGAAAAAAATAAAACCATTGCAGCAGTGGTATGAATTATGCTAATAAAGATATTTGAAATTTTGTCTAGTTTACTATGAAGTAATCGGTAGTTACCTAAACTAAATATTTTTTTATTTATCACTTCCTAATTAGAGAAAAATATGATATACTTAAAAAACATAAAACTTAAATTTTCTGCAGTTCTAATTAGAGGAGAACTTGGTCAGGGGTTTAGGTAGGTCAATAGAAATACTATTGGTCAGAGCGATTTTTATTTTAAAAAACTCTTGGATTTAAGATTTCACATCGAATAATTTTTGTATTTTTTAGACATAAGGATCCACTATTATGTTGTCTAGGATGTTCATTATAAAAATACTGTCAGATTCAAGATTGTGCGATTGCACATTGAGTTGCCGTAACTTTCTGTATTTCTTCGATATTAGAGTCCAATCTTTCGTTTTCGGGCATACTTTTTATGAAAATACTGTAAACATGATAGTGGACCTATTTTCGAAGAAATTCAAAAACTTAGAAATATTCATTGGGCAATTGAGCAATCTAAAATACGACACTATTTTCATAAAAAGTACCCCCGAAAACATTATACAAAATTTATTCAAATGAAATTTTTATATTAAATAAAAAATAATAGATGATTCAGGTTATCTATAAATAACAAATCACAAATAATTCATCTGTTCAAAAGGCATCGAATAACAAATAATGGATAAAAATGTATCTATTATTGTTATCTAGATAAAAACGTATTCAAATAACACCCAACACTGATGTAGAAACTTTAATTCATAAAATTTATTATAATTATATCAAACAGATCATAGCAGATTGGAATGAAAATGGAATAGAATGAAATCTAAAAAGTGTTAGATTTCATTCTATGGTATAAAATCCCCTTCAGTCTCATTTCGTTCTGAACTGTTGTGAAGGTGGAATTGTCTCCTCAATTCAAGACCACTCATTCCAAACATCACGAGGAATGAAACCGCTCATTCCGACCAGCACAAAGAATGAAACTTCCCACTCCATTCCTTTCATTGGAACCAATTCAAGACCCTTCATTCCATTTCATTTTCATTTCAACAGACACTCGAAACAAGACCACTCGTTCCATCCTATTCTCATTCTGACTATTACTTGAAATGAGACTGCTCTTTCTGTACCTTCTTCGTTCTGTCCTTACAATGAGATGGGAAGAAAAAAGTGTGTCACTAATTTATCATAAAAAAATCCACATAATAAATGTTTTAATAAAATTAATAAAGTCTTGTTCCATTCCAAACTGTTCTAATGGTAGAATCTGTTCCATGCAGAATGACCTATCCCTTCTTTAGATCATAAATTTTTGAAAAAGTAGTATTTTTTACTGTGGAATCTCACTTCTTCAGTGTGCATATAAGACCCTCTCAAACATTATCTACTGAAAAATCTTCCCGTTTGCTGAGAGAGAGATTGGCAAGTATCAGGCGGGGTTCATAGGAGGAAGATCTACGGTAGACCAGATGTTTAGCATCCGTATGATACTGGAAAAGTCTCAAGAGTACAGTATGATGACCCATAACCTGTTTATTGACTTCCGGAGTGCAGACGACAGCATCAAGAGACCTCAACTGTATCAAGAGAGCCCTGTGTGACCTTAGAGTTCCCCTGAAACTAGTCCGCCTCATCAAGATGACTATGGATGATGCTAGGTGCACTGTTTGGGTACAATTGGACCTGACACCTGAATTTGTTTCTATGCGAGGAATTAGGCAGGGGCTGAGATCACAGAGACTGGTCCCACAATACCTTATAAGGATTATTCAGAGTTATTTCAGAGATAGAATCTTAAGGTATGATACAAAAGCTGGATTAAAAAGTTACAAGATTACACGTGGCGTTCCGCAGGATTCAGTTCTAGGGCCATTGTGGTGGAATAGTATGTACAACATGGTGCTCAGGCTACTCCTGCCAGAAGAATCTGTTACTCTTAGCTTTGTGGAGGATCTGGCAATCATAGTTCATGGAAAACTCTTGGAAGAGATAACTTATAGTGCGAACAAGGCAGTCCTCATAATTTGTCAGTGGCTTTCAGCAGTAGGCCTCCAGCTTGCAGATCATAAAACTGAGGCAGTATTAACAACCAGTAGGAAAGTGAGGGGGACAATCATTCTCACTGTCAGGAAGTTTGATATCTTATCCAAATCATCGAAAAGATATCTTGGGGTGCAGATTGATGCCAGACTTTGATTTGATGAACACTTGCACAAAGTTACCAACAGAGCAGCACAAATGATTAATGAATTGGCTAGGATTACGCCAAATATTGGTGAACGGAAAATTTTTCACAAACCATGCTTTTGTATGCTGCACCTATCTGGACGGACGCCTACCAGGTATAGTCATATGCCCATAAAGCTATCAGTGCTTATTGCAGGTATGCTTCCGATTGATATTTTGGTAGATAAACTCAGCCAGATGTAAGGAAAACGAGATGAGCAGGGTGCTCACTGGGCTACTTTAGCAAAAGAAGAGAGAAATCATATTCTTGAAAGATGGCAGATATGCTAGAACTTCTGGAAGATGGTTCCTGATTCCCGATAAATCAACATGGATATCCTGGAAACTTGGGGATGTAGATTATTACCGGGATTTGAAATTGATAATTAAAAAAATGAATCTGATCAAAATCTTTATCTGGAATTTTAAAAAATCATTTGATGATTTTTATTAAGTGTGATTTTTATTTTTGATCATAAGTCATAAAAATCATGTCCTGGTCATTATTTTTGAACAAAATTTTTACAATTAACAATAATAATTTTTAAGTAATACTTTTTTAAATCAGATTAATTTTGTTGTAATCTCTATGATATATTGTTAGTCTGGAATAGTAGGTGGAGGATATTATTGTCAGCTATTAGCAACAGAACATCTTTATTTCTGAAATACATTAGAAATTTTGGCTTACAAAAAAAAAAAATATATTTACAGTGCAGGTACCGCACGCACAATTGAAGCAATTTGAGAAATATAATATTAAAACATGTGTACATTAATAATGTATACATACATATTAATATTTTATTTAATTTTCATATAAATAAAAAAGGTGATTTTTATTTTCTGATCACAATTTAATCACTATAATTTATGTAAGATCAAATCACTCAGTGAGTGACCATTATTTTTAATCAAATCAATAGACATCAAAGATTGATTTAAATTTCTATTTATAAATCAGTCAAGATTTTTAAATTAAAAGTCAAATATAATATAATTATCAATTTCAAACCCTGATTATTACCTTACTCAACTGCTTACAGGGCATGGTTGCTTCAGGGCCTACTTAGCACGCTTCAAAGTGGAGGATAAGTCATTGTGCCCAACTTGTGATTCCATGGATGAAATAGTGAAACATTTGTTCTGTTGTTCAGGTTTTGCTTGAGAAAAGGAAGAGCTAGACAAGAAACTCAGAACTAAATCATTCCCGGAAAATTTAGCTGCTTTGATGATGACTAGGCAGGAGAATTAGAGTGCAGCAGTAGGCTATGCAGCGCAAATCGTCAGAAGGCTCAGAGCAGAAGCAAGAAAGGAGAGGCCAGGCAATGGCTTAGCTTAAATAAGATGTCCAGAGAAGAAGTAGGCATATATCCCTTGACAGCAGTTCCACGGGATGGTAAAGAAGAATTGGGAAGTGATTTTTTAGTGAGAAGGAATCACATACTGTTGTGTGAACTTTTGATTGTTGTACTTTGTCTTATGAAAGATTTTTCCCCTATCCAAAAATAGAAAAAGAAACATACACATACATATATATAAATGAAATTAGAGAAAATGAGGAGAGAGTTTTAAGGATGTGGGAAACAGATATTTATAATTTATTGTTTAATAGATTGAGAATTTGGGAATAGGCAAGGAACTAGTTTTTTGTTAGTGTTTTTTGATTAATTGATTTATATTCCAAATGGATGAAAATCCTCTCTGTGATTAGTCTTTTGTGATGGTTGGGGACTGTGGCAAGTATGGAAGTATTGTCACAGTTGAATGTGATTTGAGGTTAAAGCATGTTCAGAAAGTTTAGAGGCAGTTGGGTTTTTGGAAGAAATTGAATATTTAAGTTGGGTGATGCGGGTTTTATGGTTTTTGGTTTCCCTAATAGAAGAGAAGTAACAATTGAGGGAGGGTAATTCAAAGGGGGAGTAACGAACATGGAATACGGTATACAACATTTGAGCGATATTGGTGAAGGATGGGGTATAACTTTACACTGATAATGTATAATATACTATAGTCCATCATGTATATAATAGATTGCATTTCTAAAAATTCTGTAATTCACTTCAAATCTTACGATTTCTAATTAATTCTTTGTTTGGTAATCTGTACTAATTTAATGTCAACTGAAATTTTATTTATTTGTACCTTGTTCCAATTAATATTTATTGTTTTCATCTTGTACTTTTAGTCCTGATGAAGACCTATAAAATAGGTTGAAATGTTGGCAAATTTAATAAAACGCTACTATAATATACAGTATGTCTATTGACCACACTCCTGACCAACTTCTTAAATTCCTGTTTTTCTCTTCGGAAACGGACCATGTTACATTTGAACTTTTTTGCAACTCTTGAAGTCAACCACCACTTCTTTAAATTTTTCTCTTTGCTTACAGGACATTCAGTACATTAACCTAATGACCCCTTTCAGTATGCATGGAACAATCTATCAAAATAGTAGTTTGAAGTTCTTTATATATGGAAAGTTACATTGAATGACAATGAAATTAATGGATAAATTATAAATATGAAATAATAAAAGAAAGTTAGATAAAAGTAAAACAAGAAAGAAATTAATTAAAAATAAATAAATAAACAAAGTAAAATTAAATATTTATAAGCATTTTTGTTTTATTATTTTATCACAATATTCATTGGTAATCAGTAGCAAATTGAAGTGAATTCCAAGTATTTTATATTTTCCACATAATGAATGGTTTCAACAATCAATAACTATTTTAAATTTATTTATTGAGACAGTTTGTAATATTTATCAATAAACAAATAATCCAGATTAAAATTTTTTTTTTAAATTTTAATATTAAAATTCTTATAAAAACAGTTTTATTTGTATTAGTTATATTATCATTGTTTTAAGAGTTTAAGTTATTCTATTAACAAATCTATTACCAGTACAAATTAGCTGTCGGAAATGCATCTACATGTATAATCCAATGTGCTTCTCTTTCACCTGCTCTGACTTCAATTACATCATTACCTTCTACAGTCAAAGATAGATATGTCATATTAGCAGCTGCAATAGGTATGCAAATTAGTAAAGATACAGTAACCACTAATTTAGTGATCAATAATTTTACATACGATATATTTCCATTTCAAAGTGATTAACATTGGTATTTTCTGAATGATCAGTAACATAACAGGAATAGATTCCAGCATCATTAATTTTAACATTTTTTATGGTTAAAATTTTTCTTGCTTTTCTTATATTCATATTGCCTACAACAGCTTTGGATGTTGATTCATTGAATGACAGTCTATTCTGAAAAAATATTAAAAAAAGAAAGTGTAAATAAAAAGCGCAAAATAAATTTTTTGGACATAACAATAATAATATTCCTACTACTTACATAGTTTTTAAATTTATATCTGAGATGATAATCTGATGGAAAATAATGTAAATTTTTTAAAAAGATTTGTTTACAATGATTTTTTTTGGAAAATATCTGATAGGGAAATTTATTAATGATTAAGTAGAATAAATACGCTGCCTCAAAAAAGTTTCCATACAGTTAGTTTTTCTTTAACATTGCTAATAATCTATTTATATTATTTTTATTAATCAGGAAGGGTAGTAGAGAAAAAGGCGTACCAGCATAATAACAAGTTCACGCTGGATCACTAATCCCACAACAGGAAGAGATACAACTTTATCTGAAAGTTAAAAAAGTTTGTATACATGTACAATATCTTAATTATATTTCTATTCAATGCCAAAATTTCACTCAAATTTACTATCCAAACAGTAAATTCAAGGTTAAGTTAAGGTTCAGCCCACTTCAAATCATCATGCATCTAGAGCAGTGCATTAGTGACCAAATCGTGTAGTTGAGAAGTCTAGGATTTTCTCTCCGAAAAGCTGGAATTTTACTAAATAAATGGCGTGCAACTGTGCAATACGTCTTAAACAGACACAGTGAATTAAAATCGTTGGAGGACAGGCCTAATTCAGCTCAAGTGCCATATCCTTGGCCAGCTGCCTTAAAAGAGATTACCAGGTACGCGTAAATCCAGAAACTGTCAGGAATGTTCTGAGAGAGAAAGGTTCTCATGGATGAATTGCATGAAAAAAGCCAAACAAAAAAAAAAAAAAGAGGTTGGCATTTGTCATCGAGTAAGCCAATAAGCCAGGATATTTCTGGGATTTTGTGATCTTCTCATATGAATCCCAATTCAACCTTTTTTGTACCAGATGACAGGTGTCATGTATGGAGAAAAGACAAATAAGCACTTATTTCAAAGAATTTGTGACCGACCTTCAATCCTGGAGGTGTAACTGTAATGGTATGGGGGCGTATTAGTGCTTTAGGAGTTGGCAATCTCGTTTTTATTGATATAATTATTGACGAGCGTGTATTCCTAAACATTCTAAGGAACAATTTAAAAAGTTCTGCAGAAAAACTTGGACTTATGCTGGGGTTTATTATTTAACAGGTCAACAATCCTAAACACACCCCCAAGAAAGTAAAACAATCGTCAATCAACAATGTTCCAAAACAGTTGCACACTCCTCCCCAGCTACCAGACATAAACCCAATAGAATATATGTGTGAGATGAATTAGGACAGTGCATAAAAAATCATGGTGTTTGAATAGAAGATCTCAAAGCAGCTCTATTGGCAGAATGTGATTCAATTAGCATAATGATGATTTGAAATAGGCTAAACCTTAACTATACCTTGAATGTAGTGTTTAGATCACAAATTTGAGTGAAATAATGGCATGAATAGAAATATAGTTAAGATATTGTAGATGTATGGAAACGTTTTTAACTTTAAGATTAAAGTTCTATCTCTTCATGCTGTGGGATTAGTGATCCAGTGTGAATTTGTTATCATGCTGGTACACCTTTGTCTCTACTAATCTTCCTGATTAATAAAAATAATATTATAAACAGATTAATAGCAATGTTAAAGAAAAACTAACTGTATGGAAACTTTTTTGAGGCAGTGTAAGTGGAAATAGCTATGTAAGGTCATGTGGACAAAGGTGATAAATGACATTGTGAAAAAAATTGAATTATTGCTAAGAATAAAGGAGTAAAAAAGATATGTTTTTAATATTTCTTCCTTTCATTAACATAAATTCAATATATGAGTCATAATTTAGTTAATAGAGGTGTCCATTGATGAAACACCTCAACCTTACAATGGATAAAGGCTTAAAAATCAATAGTGTTAGATATTTGGGATCTAACAGTGATACTTTGATAACAGTGCTATCAGTATGAATATATATATTAATTAAAAACATGCATCTTTAGTTTTGCAGGAATTAAGTAGAAAAGTGTGCTTATCTATTAAATGTTAATGAAAAAATATAGAAGTAGCACTAACTGTCAAGAAAGATAAACATTCCTTTAGTTTGGAGCAAATGCAAGTGGTAAGGAATAGGAATATCCCATTTCAGAGAAAACAATGAGATATAAATGTATTTATGACAGGAAGTTTCCTCCTGGCTTAGAATGAATAAATGCACTAAAATTAAATGTAAACTATACTCTTATCTGTGAAGTACCTTGATCCAAAGGTTATACAAAGTAAATGTTGGAAACCTGTCTTAAAAACGGCCAGGAGTATAAAACTCTAGCTCATTAATTGGGCAAATGTCGAAACAACCTGAACTTCGTCAACCATTCCAACACTATAATATAAATCAGTAAATAGCTGAACTGGTGGAGAAGAAAAATTATAGATGTTTAAAAGGAGGAGTCTGCATAATAAAACTACATGGTTTTAGTAACAACAGTGACAGAGGGGAATATAATAATGAATTATTAAATGATTTAACACTCAATATTTTATTTTTTTATGAAGGCAAAATAAAACTATATGAATATAAATTATGGAAAGGTTTCCCTTCAGGCTCAATAAATATTTTTATATTGCTTCACTAAAAACGTAATAATGCAGAAATGGGAAATAAGTAAAATTAATAATTAATTTTATTATTTTATATGTAATTAAGTAACTTGAAATTGTTTCCAGTTTATAAATATGACAATGTCGTTTTTCAAAAACAGTTGTTTCGCAAGGGAGTTTGGTCCAACTTCCTAAGAGAGCCAGTCATAGTGAGAAGTGGGGACTAGGATTGGTTCCTGTGATTTTTAAATTACAGCTTTCAACAAATGATTCAAATGAGGGTTCACATTACTGTAAGATTTAAATGATTTGATTAATTTTAAATTAATAATTAATATGATATTTACTAAATAAAAGAAAAATTATGAATATACCTTCTCTACTTGATCAGGAATTTGCCATTTTATAAGGACATTGACACCTAAAGGCACAACTACAGTACAAGAGAGGTCAATGTCTTGCCCAACAACAATGTGTGAACCTTCTGCTCCAACAACTTCAATAATTGGTTTATGTATATCTTCTGACTTAGCTAGATAACATAAAATTATATAACAATAGATTGTTATACAGAAAATTATTCTATCGATATTCATTAAATATGAATTTATGTATCTCCATAAAATAGTTTTAAAATAATAATTCAAGGAGAAATCAGTTAAGAGTGTGGTCAAGGGACAAAACAAACAATAAGTGAAATATTTCTTGTAATCTGTGCTAATGTTTTAGCTTAAGTTTTAGGCATCCATCAGGGTAATCTAGTATCCATCTTAAAGCAACTAACCACAGTTTTGCTTTAAAACTGTAGATATGTCAACACTGTATAACTTTCAACTCCCTACCAGATCTTACTATATGATGATGTAGGGAAAAGAAAACACCACTCTTCTTCGAAATTTCAGGTATTCGCTGGGGCACGCTAGGTTGATAGTGTTTCCACATTCTTTGGATTTCCATGTCTCATCTCCAGTTTATTTTCATTAATTAAAATATATTATTGAAGACAAAGTTTTAGAAAATAATATTAATTCTAAAATCTCACCATCACGCATATATTTATTTCAACTTTTTAATTTTTTTCTTTACCTAAGGGTCAATTATTATTTGTAGTTGTCAAGGGTGTTTAAGATGAAGGCCTTAACAGTGTAGATTCAAAGTAGTACGTACTCCATGGATGAAGAGAGGTATAAAAAGGATGAACAATAGTATCGGGAGGATGAGCTTTCAAATCACAATCGGTTGACGAGCTAAGGAATAAAGCTTAAGATCTCGCAGGATTGTGACCAAAAACGGAGAGATTAATCTCTTAATCTTGTAGGGGGATAGCAACAAAAGGATAAGCCTTCAGACTTATGTAGGACTAAAAGCAGATGAACAAATATTCACACATTTTATGGAGAGATTTTCTTTAGACCTAGATCTCTCCCCACTTGAGTAGAGAGAATAATCATTTCAGTAAGGCCCTGGAAATTTTTTTTACAAACTCAATTCCTAGTGCATTAGTTTTCCTATAAATGTAAGTCGATTTTAACCAAATATTGTACACTGAGTGAAGTTTGGTAGTGATTTGTAAGAGAATATTTTGAATTAACTCCGTTTCAAAAGCTGAGTAAGCTTTCATGTCCATGAAAGTGTAACTCCTCACTCTCTAGAAAATCTCAACATGTTGGGAGTAGGCTCAAAGTTACAAACAAATGCTAGTCATTAGCCAAGTAACACGGTGCAAACATTTTGTAACGTACTTGGCAATGCCAGTAAATTAATCGTACATTTCCAGCAAGCTGCAAACAACTGATATTATATTATTAAACAACAAATAAATTTCCTCTATAAATAAATAAAAATTCTCATGGAAAGTAAACAAATTAAGTCAAATATACACAATCCAGTGTTAAAAGAGCCCATACTCTCAGAGAAAAAATGAGGACATACATTTTTTTCAAAATGACATATCTATGGTTTTGTTAATGATTATGCATGTTCACATAAGTAATGATAATGATAATAAGGCTTAGCGAACCCAAAGGTTTCATGCCGATACCACCAATCGATGTCCACATTCTTCCATTCACCAGGTGCCGTCTAAAACCAACCCCGCCAGATCAGCCTTAATAGTCCATTAAAATTAGAGATTGACCCCAAAATTAAAAAAATAAAGATGAAACTTGTCAGAAATTGTTTATTATCCATCCATATAAAACTGGTAAAAAGTACCAAAGAATCCCGCATTGGGTTTTGATGGTGAGAGGGGAGGAAGGACAGAAATAATAATTTTTTAAGAATATCTCAAAACCTGTACGGTTTTTCATAAAGATTGTTCACTATAATATTAAAGTACTTTAAAATCTCTGTAAAAAAGATAATATACATTTTTTAATAAAATCAATGGTTCTGAAGATATTTATGAGATTATATTTCCACTTAAAGCAAAAATTGCTTCAAAGCACATCATTGATGATGTTCAAGTTTAGAGTGACATTAATTTCATATAATTGATAATATGTGATATAGGACATTAAAACTTATAAAAATTTACCATAAACCATGGTCTGATTACATACTGAGAACCAGAAAACTTAAATATTGTAATTTTTAAACCAAACACGTTTTATGTTGAATAAAAAGCAATAACTAAAAAAATTTTATTTAGGCTACAACCAATTACTTCATAGTAAAGTCTATTAAATTTAAAATAAATACAAGTAAATTTTGTCTATTTTAATACCATTTAAAGGTGGCTTTTAAGCAGTTAAACTGTGGTAAGTTCAGTTTTTCATAAAATCAAGTATTCTTCCCGGTTTTTTTTTTATAAACTCTCAACTGGACTGAAGATACCACACTTCCAGAAAAACTTCCTTGTTTGATGATCTGTAAGTCTTATAATTTAGTTTTATTATTTCTATGTATTCACTTAACAGTACCAAATCATCAACATACCCAAGCACAGATATATTGTTCTATCCAGGTTCAAACCTTTTTCAGTATGTGTCACCTCTCTAATGGCATGTCCTAATGACAAATTAAATAGGACAGGTGAAAGTGAATCACCTTTTTTTAAATCCGGAATGAACCTCAAATTTCTTGGATAAATAATAACCGATTCTAACTGTTAACGCCGCATAGGCTTATTTCTTAATTTTTTCATTATTATTTTCTCTCACATTTACCTCTTTTCAATGTTAACAATAAAATGTTTATTTTTTATTTTTGTAAAAGTTTGAGGGACAATTGTTCCTAAAATGTATTTAAGTTTATATTATAGTTTATATTTGGCTTCGTTTGCGATGTATTATCGCATGGTATATACACACCAGCCCGGCAGTAATACCCTGTCTTAAGGATTAAGACTTCAAAATACGGCCGGGGCAGTCTGGAACTGGCCTTCGTTATTGGGTCCACATAGTGGACAATTTCTCTCACCTTCTCACCAGCCGCTCCAGTTAACTCAAACCCCACCGGCCTAGTATAAGTGACCTGTTGTTTTTTTCGGAAGTCTGGAGATAGCTCTTGTCGACATTAGACCCATGTAGTGGAAGTCTACCCCCACCAATCTCACCAAGCTCCAGGCCGTCTGATCTCGCAACATCTCACCTAGCGCCATTTTCGAGGATCAGCTGTAGTAATCGATACATATCGATACGACCCCACCATCGATTACTTGGCAGCTGGAGATCGGAAGGTAACAGGTTGGAGGCAGAACCTCCAACTTGGCTTGTTGTGTTTTTTATTCTCACCAAGACATTTGAACATTTAGTTAACTGTTTTCTTCCCTAAATTTGTTTTATTCATTTGGACAATTCTCTTGTTTTATTTACAATTTTAGAAATTGATTTTTTCCTTTATTGATAATGGTTAATTTCTTTTATTTTCTCTGGATGTTGTATTTATGTTTTATTTTTCTCGTAGCTTTTAAGTATTGTTTATCTCAACTTTTATATAAATTTATATCTCTTTTTCTTTCTCAATAAATTGTAAACATTCAAAAGGGGATTTTTTTTATTTTCCATTTTTTTTATTTATTGAAATATCTCTATTTTTTTAAATATTTTCTTGTGCATGTATTTGTTTTTTTCTCTAATGTTTTATAGGTCTCATTATTCACTAATTTTTTTTCTCCTTCTTTCCCAACGTTTTTTTTAATTTTTCTCGAATTTTCCCACCATTGAGGAAACGCACCGGGGAAAGATATGTACTTCGATTTTGAAGTAGCCCTGGCCCCAACACTAACTTTATTGAATGTTTCAGATATACACATCCTAACTAGATTCACTAATTTTTTTGGGGGGAATCCCCTGCTCAGTTAGAATATTATACAACTTCTGGCGGTCAATGGAATCATAACCCGTTTTTTCACGTAAGTAACTTCCTAAAAAAATGATAAAGGTTGATATGAAGTAAAAAAAAAACAAAAAAAAAAACAGGCTATTGATTCTTCTTCTTTCTTCTTCTGATCTACTTTGATTCTTGAAAAAAAAATGATGCTCAAATGTGACCAAAATTTTAAAATGACCCTACTAAAAACAAATCTAATTGCACATGCTCGATCAAAAAATATTTAAGAAAGTTGGAAATGCCATTTAATACCTTAAAAGCGATAGTATTTTCATTGAAAACAATACTAATAATTCGAAGAAATCTGAAAAGTTAATATGAGTTAGTCACTATAACTGTTGACAAGCAACATTTTAATCAATTATATTTTGAAAATCGATAGTATTTTAATTAAAAATATGGTTCACAAAACATAATAATGGACCCTTATATAAAAGATATTCCAAATATAAATTGATAATTGATTGTGCAATCATAAAATCAATTTTATTTTCAAAAACTACGCCTCTGATAACATATGATTGCACCCTTATATAATTTAAGAAATACAAAAAGTAACAAATTGATACGTAATAGTATTATCTTAAAATTGAGATTATTTTCAAATAGTAGACCTCCGGTAGTATTAAGATGGATCCTTAATCTGAATGAATCTGAAAAGTTAAAATAAATCGATACATTATTTCAAAATACATTATGCATTTCAAAATTTATAGTATTTAAAAAAAAAATTAGACCCCCCCATAACATAATATAAGGCTAATTTTTTTCACTTACTGAGAGTTTCCTCTCTTTACTACACTCTAACCAACTTCTTCATTACACCAATGGTAGTCAATATTTCAATCATTAAAACAATAAATACATTTCAGCTATTGATGATTTTGACTGCAAACAAAACATTTATGTTTTAAAAGTAAAATTATGGAAATGTAAAATTTGTTATAATGTACTTAATTGACAAAAATTAATTAATTTTTAAAAACTACTCAAACAAGCATATAAAAATTTATTTTGATTTTTTAAAAATGTATTCAAGAATTATGGTTCCACATTCACTGTACTTCTGGTCACCATACCACAGATTTATAAAAATAAATAAATATTTACTGCTTCAACAATATAAAATATCATTCTGATACAAACCCTCAAGAGTATTTTAACATTTATTTAAAGTAGGTCTAGAGCTGTTGATATTTT